TCAACGACTTCAGCGACCTCCATTGCGCTGCGGTCAGCATTGTCGTCCTTATCCACCAGTACCTTCTTCTTAGGTACAACCTTGGGTTTTTGAGGAGGTTTTGATGTGGGTTTCGTCGCGATGGTCTTCTTTGCTGGTGCTTTCGTCTGCAAAGTGGCACTGAGTTGCACCCTTTACAATTCATCAAGCACGACTCACTGTCTTCTTGATGGGAGGAGCGTAGTCCTCGCTTTCTGTACCTGAGACGTTTTCGAGGTCAAAACTCTCCCCTTCTGAAGAGCTCATTGTGGAAAATGAGTCGCCCGGTCGCAATCGTTGATGTTGGATAAAGCTAACAATAATAGGAACAAAACGCGGTCGCGTCACGGTTTCCGCCAAACGCGTCAGCACGTGACCACCACGGAACCACAAGCTCATTTTTTGACACAAATATTCTTGGGTTGGGGGAAGTGAAGATAAAATACTTAAATTTTGAAACTTTACATAAGGAACAGTTGTCTGATTCGTATAAAAGCCAAGTGAAATGGCAACGACTCTGAATTAACTAACATTCAATGACTTCGATTCATCTCATTTCTCGAATATTTGGAATAGATTGAGCGACGTGAAGTGATGACTGATCAGGATCACCATACTACATACACAATCTACCATCATGGCCGAGCTTTGATGTTGCTCACAATGATGCTCTGTGACCGGAATATCAATGTATGATCTTGGCCTATACAATACTGTGCAAACCTTATATGCTTGTACATCACCCTTGAACTTGGTCACTACATGATCAGCGCACACCCATAGCTAGACAGACTTAGACAGCAGCCAAGATACAATTTGCATGTGCTTACCTCCTTTGCAACTGTGGTGATGAATCGCTCGTCGTGAGAGATAACAATCACTCCGCCATTCCAAGTGCTCAACGCCGTCATCAGCGCATCCAGACCCTTCATTGAACTGTCAGTAGAAGTGGAGAAATATGTATATGTGCTGTACCTCGATATCTAAGTGGTTAGTAGGCTGGTAGGTATCAGTAACAACAATAAACCGTAATCTTCTGTACTCGCCTCATCCAATAATAATATATGAGGATTTTGCAATGATAAGGCAGCAAACGCGACACGAGACTTCTGACCTCCAGAAAGTGTGCCAATAAGCTGGAGCCTGTCGTCCTTGAAACAAACTGCAAGTAGATCACAAGAAGTTTGCGCACCCCGTCATTCCACTGATCTGGAAATTGCCTAGGTGGCCTCGATATTCTTGTTCTGTCTTTCCTGGGAATCTAGAGGCTAGAAACTGTACAGGAGACATCGCAGGATCGAGTGTATCAACATGATGTTGTGAAAAATATCCTCTACAAAGCAAGTAAGCAGGTGATGAATCAAACGCAGCGACGACTCACATCCGCAGACGACCATTCCGATTCAAGTCGCCACTCAACGGTCTAAGCTCTGCAGTTAGGAGTTTAATACTACGTATCCCGACCAATTTTTAGTTGTATTACAGCTTTTCGAGGGACGTAGGACCACTTACAGGGTTGATTTTCCAGCTCCGTTCGCGCCAACAATAGCTATTCGCGAATCCAACCCTACATCGATGTTGATTCCTTGGAGGAGAAGGTTTTCGGGTGTATACCCAAAGGTGACCTCAGACAATTGGAGCAATGGTGGCGATATCTTCTCTGCTTCGGGGAATCTAATTGCCAGAATGTTATTCTGCTGCACTTGGAACGAAAACGATTTGCCGCACTTGAAAGTTTCACCCTCTTCTTCCTCTGGAGGCTCTAAGTCAGGGAGCTACAAAACGGTCGGTCAAGGGTTGCAACGAAGTCGTGCAACACGCCCACCTTTTCCAACATTTTAATTCTCATCTGTGCCTGCGAAGCTATACAGAAACGTGTTGGAAAATCATAGCAACTGCCGAGTTCATATTCCTACCTCTGGCTGCATTATATCTCCACTTGTCAATGAAGGCCTGTAGGTGCTTCCGGTAATCCATTTGTGTTTCGTATTCTTTTCGCATATTGCGGTCCCGTTCAGACTTCGTTGAGTAGAACTGGGTGAAATTCCTGCGAATTGACTGCTGTCAGAAATTACGCCCGTCTGGGAAGGAATGACACGAACCCTTTATAATAGTCTAGTCTACCAGAATGCTGGTGCACGATATCAGTCGCAACAGCATCTCTGCAGATAATCGTATTTTAGGCGTAAAACGAAGATTGCTGCACACTCACAAGAATGCACGATCGTGAGATCTGTCGAAAGCGTGAGAAAAATAATATCAACTTGTACACCCGCTCAACTGACACAACAAGCAACGTCCCGGGCCATGTTTGAAGGTAATCTTCTAACCAAGCTAGTGCATTTAGATCGATGTGATTTGAAGGCTCATCGAGTAAAAGAAGAGCAGGCTACATCCAATTGCACGTGCTTCAGACCTCGGTGTTAAACAATCAAGACTTGAACAACACACCTTTACAAACAGTGCACGTGCTAGTGCGAGTCGCATTCTGAGCCCGAGATATCAGACATTGCCATGACCCATTGATTTGACTTACCTCCAACCTCCACTGAATGTTCTTGTAGGCTTAGATTGATCTGCCTCGCTGAAACCCAGCCCTGAAGACTTCGTATCATAACCTATTATTTGACATAAAAATATCATCATACCTGCGAGAAGAGTGGCTGCCCTCGAAGGACCACTCTCTGCATCCATATCACTTAAACGAGCGTGCACTTCCGCCAATCTTGACGAAGCCTCCTCCCTAGCATCCTCGAACCGTTTATCGTCACCTTCCTTTTCCAGAGTAGCCAGGCGGGCATTCAAAGAACCTTCCTCCTTCAACAGGTGATCTCTCCAGACGTCGGCTTTAAGAACGGAATCGAGAGCGGTTGTATCATCCCCAACAATCTATACCGAGTTCGTGCACAGGCTCATATTAGAACACAGTGACTTACCTCCTGCTCCACGAACAATATGGTAATATGCGCGGGAATAGGTACTTCCCGCATGGCGATATGCTTCAAAAGGGTGGACTTTCCGACACCTGATGAAATCGTACAGTCGTGCCGATAGGTGATCAAGTATAAAGCGTACCATTGCGACCTATGAGCCCATACCGACGACCATACGCCAATGTAAGGCTTGCTCCTGAACTAAGGGGATACCTCAGAACAAGTAACAGCAATCAAAAGTGAAACGCACAGTATACGATTGGAACCAAAATTGACGTCAATTGAGGGCAGATGTATATCTTTGCTCTTGTTTTTGGCAGCATTTGCCGCTTCCAAGGGGTTAATCTGAAATAAGTTGTTGAATAATCAAATTGAAAGAAGTAAACACAAGTGAATCACCTTCATGAACATCTCTTCATAATTTTGCTGCCAATCCCATGATCAAAATGATTTAGGGAGATAGATATTTCAACTGACCTGCTTGCGGTGCTGATCAAGAAGTTTGGATCCTTCGTAGAGGTCACGACGAGCGCGTTTCTCGATCTTAGCCTGAAAAGCCGCCGTAACATCATGGCCAAATGACGCAGATAGCCGTTTGTGCTTACCTTGAGTTTGGCTTCCTGTTTCTCAAGCTTTTTTACATCTACCCTGGATGCTCTGTGGAGGAGCATCACTGAGTTCGAGGCAGGTATAACGATGAAAAGGTATAGGCTCACTTTCCCTTATTGATGCTCTCAAGGTCTACACCTTCTCCAAGCCCAATGGTATTCGACATAGCACCGACCTTGCTCATGTCCATAACTTTGTCAAGCTTCATCAGCTTTGGTCGACCGCTATTTCTCGCTCGTGCACTCAGCTGCTCAGCAAGGAGATCCCGGAGGCGCGCCATCAACCTCTTGACGTCGTCTGGACGACTCATACCCAATGAATCCAGAATGTCATTGGCCACCTGAAGAACATCCTCCTCTTCACCAGCGTCATCGACTAGATAACCTGAAAGATACTGCACGATGAGTTCTTCTGTACCAGGGAAGATGGAGCGTATTTCTTCTGCAATCTCTACAGAGGCCATCTTTCTTCGCCAGTATAAGATAAAAAGATGCTGGGTCCTGACAGGAAGAGATGTATTACTGGCTAGATGGCCAAATACTATCCGTCCCGGCTGAGTCGTCACCCCCACAAGTCGTCACGACCTAAATATCTCACTCAATTCTTACTTCCACACATAATTTACAACTTCAATCAATGTTTCTTACATGTACTGTTCATTGCGAGGTTGAACGACTGATTTTTACGAAGAAATGGTGAAGTTCATTGAAAGCAGCCAAAGTCACGCAAGACTCACGCTGGTGACAGCCAGCCGAACGTTGCCGTGGCGGAGTTTTAAACAGATACTATGACTGGCTGTGACGACTTGACAGACTCGGAGATAGCCGCTCGAAAGGGCATCGCGTGATCCTGCATATGAGCAGTGGATTCAGGCAGCTTTGCAGGGTGTCACAAACAATATCTACAAGACCATCAAAGAAGCTGCGTTGGCTCACAATATAAGCCAGTATTTCACCCTCACATGATTTTTTGCTCTAACTTAACTGACATCTGGATCTGAGGCATTAACTGAGCGGGCTTAGAAATGGCAGCTGTGACCAACTGTGACAAAAGCGTTACTTGACGACTTGTGGGGGTGACGACTCAGCTGGGACGGATAGTATAGAATGTGCTACTAGTTGCGGCAGCCTGCGCCGGCGTCAGATACACACACCGGTTCAAACAACTTTCAAAGCTCTAAAGCTGACACCCACTGCTGCTCCAAGTCCCCAAGATCCCTATCTGCATTTACTTCCACTTGGGCAAAATGCGGCCCTTTTCTTCTGCCTCAACGAGCCTTCATAAATCACATAAATGTAAAACGAGCCCCACGTATGCCGTCGTACGTGATGTTACTTACGCCATCCCGCATCACGAGGAAGTTATGTTTGAGGTCACAAGCACTTGAAAGATGGCCATGCCATTACTTTGCGCACCGTTCCGATAAACCTGCAATCGCAATGAGGATCCTACTGATTCTGATACATTTGTAATTGCAAGGAGAAACTTGGCTGAGGATCACCAACTTCAGATGTTCTCGTTCGTGAAACAAATTCATGTGGTAGAAAGAGAGTAGTGTGTAGTGAAGTTTGTAGCCGGAAACTCGAGAACTGACTCAAGACCCGATCCTTCCTTCGAGTCACATTGCCTACTTGTTGTCCATCTTACCACTTGGTGGCCCCAACACCTTCAACCGTTTAACTGAGCTTTCAGCAACGGGATTCGAATTCAGCAGCAACTTCACAACTCGGGCTACTATGGATTGACGTGTTACTTGAAGCCAATATAGTGTTACGGGTTTATATGTTTTTTGGTAGTTTGATCTGGAAGGTGCCTAATTAATGATCGTCAGTACAGTATGATACACCATGATATTCGAAAGTTTTGCGTACACTGAGGTAAAGTGGTGATTTCAGGAACTACCGTCCCTTGAAAACCGATTCGAGACAATGCACCTCGAATAATCCCAGCAGGAAGTGCAACATACTTTGAGATACGTCAAAGCATATAAAAGCGTGATCAATTCAAACTATTGACATACCAGCTTGGCTCGCTTAAGAGCTTCTTGTCGACCCTCCCATGAAGAAATTCGAGTAATCGGCTTGAAAGCGTTATCTTGAAGAACATAGACCCCCTACGAATATCTCAAATGCCACATGTCCAAAGTCGTGAATCAATTGCTTACCCTGTGATTCGTACGCAAGTTGTCGACTTGTTTGTCCCAGCAAGAAACCCAAAGATCCTTGCAAACAAACTTGATAACGTCCAGAGAGTCACTGAATAATGGGCGATCACGGCAAAGCCTTGAAGGCAATTAGGATGAGAAATTGCCTTTGAGACACCGTACCTCTCCACAAAGTTACCCCCAATGTGCATACCGATAGCTTCCAGCCTAGATCTCACCCCCTCGTCTTCGTCCGCAGGCCCTGATATCTTACCCGACGTGCTACTAGTACTGTCTCTCGGATTCTGTTGTTTGGCGGTTGGCGGTGGTGGTGGAACCAAACCAGCTTCGACCATGTCGCGCTCTATTTTTTTTGCTCGAGCAGAAGCGACTGCTGATGAGACACGAAGGGCATTCACAGCTTCGATCAATAAGTAATCCATGGCTGCACCATCGACCATTCGAGCAGGAGGGTCAGCAAGGGTGCCGAGGGCGCTGACCGGTGCTGCCTGCATCTGAGGAGAATATGCCGTGTAATAGGAACTTCGGACAGAAAGAAGGCAGGTCTACAAATGCTCACTGGCAGCACTCAGCGCTGAGTGAGGTTTAACTGTTTAACAAGTACGTTCAAGGTACGTCTTATGTAAGTACAGATCCCTAGTAAGGAGTAGCCCAATAAAGTGTTTTCTTTTGGTTTTCTTTATGATCCAGACATCCACCAAAATATCTTCCGCTTCATTGGCATACTAGATTACGGATCGACAACACACGAAGATACAAGTAGAAAATATTTCATAGGCTTTTCAAAGTTTTGCATGCTGAAGAACAAACTTCGATGATTTCTTCGACTTAACTTTGTCGATATCTGCGAGCGTAACAGGCCGGCATTCATAAGCGTGATTGTATCCCAGTCTGGTATATCGCAGGTTAGTGAACTACATTAAAAATAAGGGTATGCTTACCTAGCCTGGCCGTCAATACCCCCTGCTTTGTAAAACTCAGGCCTGCGGAGTAGACTAACGACCACTGCACCCCCAATACCAATATTGTGAACAAGACCGAATTTTCCCCGTTTGTCCGGAATGTCGAATAAGCCAGGTGCTTGCATAGGTCCTGCCACTACACATCAATTGCATTAGGAATACGACGAAAAGCAAACAGATTGATTGCCACACTAACAATTACGCAATTGCACTGCCAAAGTGATGAGAACAATATCGCCAACTTAATAGAATGCTCACTTGTTATATAAAAATGCATACCCAGACCAGTAGCCCCGAGTGGATGTCCTTTGGCTTCAAGACCGCCGCTCGGGTTTACAACATACTTGCCGCCATACTACAGAATGTTCAGTTACTTCCCAACTGAAAGAGAAAACTCTGACCGTATTGTCACCTCTTTCGACCATCTTATGGGCCTCATCAGGGGCACAAAGTCCAAGGGCAGGATATGTAATGAGCTAAGGGAGGGTCATGCGCCAGACTATGTGAGGAAAGGCGTACTTACTTCGTTTGCGGAAAAACAGTCATGCAGCTCAACCACGCCAACCAAGTCGCGCCCTTCACCATCAGCAAAGCCAGCGTCTTTAAATACATTGTCAGCACATCGCTTCGACATCCCGTAGCCGGCAACCTCCATAGCGCTCTCAGTATCATACGCAGCAGGGTCGTCCGTCTCAAGGCCTTGCGCAACTATTTCAATGGCTTGATTCTCCAATCCATGGGCATGTACAAAGTCTTCTGATGCAATGATACAGCAGGCTGCACCATCCTGATGCATGGTGAGTATCGAGTACTTGAGAACGGGAGGACCGTTACCGATGTAGGACTGCACATGAACTTCGTGAGTTGAGCAGTAATCTTAGGTGCTTGTAGGACTTGTTCAACCGTCCATCCGTTACGGAACTGTGAATATGGGTTCTTGACGGAGTGTGCGTGATTCTTTGCGGCTAGAATACGTTTTGAACACACATTTTTAATACGAGCGCTGGATAATACCTATCATGGCCAAGTGTTTGACTTCGGCACCGAATTTATCCATATATTCTTGCCCTGCGTTGCCAAACATTCGCGGAGCACCTGGACCAAAGTTTGTTCCGGAAGTTAAGGTCTTTTCGAGGTCTACGGTCCGCTTATGGAACAAGAAAGTCGGTGGTGGCCTGTCGGGAAAGTTGGTCCCAAGACTACCCGCCGCCATACGCTCAAAGCCCAATGCGAGGGCACAGTCGACCAGGCCTGACTTTACAGCGTTGTTCGCATGGAACAGTGCAGTACTTCCGGTCGAACAATTATTATTCACGTTGGTGATGGGAATCCCAGTCATTCCAAGGCCATAAAGAGCTCGCTACACCAATTAGCATCGTAAAACTGAGAAAAGAGTGTCATACTTGACCGCTCGTAGAATCACCATAGCAGTAACCCACAAATGCAGTTTGCACTGCATCGTATGTGATACCTAGGAAGTTCGAATTGTGGTTTTGAACAAATTGTCTCTTCATGCATAACTCACCAGCATCGAGCAGCGCCTTCGTCCCTGCTTCAAGTCCCATCTATACATGAATGGAATCAAAGATCATTCGTTTCTTGTACTCATTCTGCTTACATCCTCCGTTGTCCTCTGCCCTCTAGGCTGCGTATGGAATGAATTGAATGCTAGAGACTGGCAAGATTGAATTATTGACCTTTATGAATGCCGTGCATCCACAGCCGACGATAAAAGTCCTCTGGAATTTGTTCTGAGGCATGTTAAAACGTTGCGTCACGATACGTCAGGTGCAAACAAAGGATGCGAGTCGTGTCAAGTGCACTAGTAACTACTAGTACTCACTCAATCACGGAACCAAATATATATAGGACTGTCCGGTAACTTAAAAGCCGTAACCGGTCCTCGGCACTCAGTTCGACAAAGCACTTGAAACTGGTACATACTTATTGCATTTGATTTCTGTAGCGGTATCAGTCTGTATTATGTAACTGTAGCAGCTGGGTGATCGAGCACATCTGATATCCACCATCTGACCGCATCCGCAGCATATGTCGGAAATTCCCACCTTGAGTCATTTGCAATGACTGGTGATTGAGATAAGGGTTACGTTAAAATTACAATGATTTCTTAGATTTGATACACTTTCATAATAGTTTCAAAGTGTACCTTTGAATACCATTATTAAATAATTAAATAATTAAATGTGGGCAACAGATGAAGTAAAACTAGACACCTCAATATAGTGCACTAGGCCGGTGAATTAGATTTTGAAGCTGAACCATGGACTAGCCTGATTGTAGGTACAGAACCTGAACACATTTTTGCGGCTCTGGGCTCTGGCCGATAGAAGTAAAGGGTAGGGTTACATGGTTTCACGAAACCAATGCTGCTATCAAGGAAGTGGAACAAAAGAGGAAGAGATAAGAATCACGTTAACCAAATTCATCACCATCAAAAAGATAATCGATCAGGCACCGCACGACCTATATAGGGAATCGCCAAAATTTTCTGGTATCAAAGAACATTCACTCACTTCCACATTAACGCTATTGCCAATGAGCCGGTACTGTGATTTTAGAGATATGGTGGGCGGCCACAAAAATTCTTGGTTGGACTCTTGCTCCTCGAATCGAAAGATCTTCAGGAGTTCGCTGGGAGTAAAATAGCGAAGGTGTAGCTGATCTAGGATACGGACGGCGTCTTCAGCTCCCCGTGATTGAGCTTCAAGAAACCTGTCAAAGATCTCGGTGGTCTGCCTTACTTCAGTTCAAAATTCAAGTTTCAACATTACGGCTGTAAACTCACATCAAGATCCTCATTCATCTGAAGTATGGAACCTGCACGCTCAACAAGTTGTGTATAACCTAGGGTAAAATTGGTAAACGAAATAGTCAGCGCTAGAGTAAACAAACCCCTCGTGAAACAACAGGTCCGCCGATCAGATGGCAGTACGATGTCGAACAAACGACCCCACTTTGAAAGTACTCGATCGTGGATGCTGTGACGTAGAGGAATTCCATCCTCGTTGGTAGGGTTTAAATATTCCTTTAGGGAGTGTATAGGAACGTCTAATGCAGTTCCTGGTATCTTCTCGTGAACTCGGTCGAATTGAGATTCATGAAGGCTAGAGAACCGGAGGGGGGATAATTTCGCAAGAAGGTAGTATCTTAGTCGCGAATTTGGGATACCAAACTGTACAGGAGTGAGAAGAAATTCAGCGACAACGTAGCCGAACCGTTGAAGGGTATCGACTAAATGTCTCCTTGTTATCGAGTCCTTGTCGATGTTACATCAAGATTGGACAATGTACGCCGTGGGATGATGTAGACTGACCTTGAAGCTTGCTACATTCTCGATGAGTATGTAGCGAGGTTGATAGTCCTGGGCAATGAGGTCCGGCAAAACATGATCGATCAAATGAAGAAATGACTTTGCTCTAGGGTCGGCCTCTCCTCTAGCATCAGGGTTCAAAATGGTATAAGGTTGGCATGGTGGGGATAGGAGCCAAACGTCAGCATCCAGGTGTAAAAGATCTGCCGCAGAAAGTGTTGATATGTCTATCTACGAAAAGGACACACGACCTCGCACAATTGGTCAATGCCAGAGAATCATGTATCAAAGGTCGACCTACCCTGGTAATTATTTCGGCGCCATAGTTAGCTGCATATACCTGACATGCAGTTTGATCCCAGTCGAACGCTTTCACAGGGGAACATGCCACACAACTTTGGCGAAGTGCGAGATGCAGGCCACCTACGAAGTGATTTTAAGAAAAGCTCGGTCACATCGATATCCATGAAGCACCTATGCCACTATAGAATTCAATGGCGCGCACGGGCATGTTGAAGTTTAGAGCTGATTACAGTAAAATTGAAGGTTCAGAAGGTTCAGTACTTGCTAGTTCAGTGTATAGCATCATTTTCGGATCAAACTGTGGTTATGTAATCTTCGAGGTTGTAAGCTAATTAGAAGATAGACTCATTTGTCTGCAAGTTCACCTTTAATCCCTCTTCAATCCAGCTGTGAAGGGCTGGTCAAGACAAAAAGGAAAAGCCTATCGAATCTTCATAGTCTGATCGATCTTTCGCAGCTCTTGGACCTGTTTCCGATCCTTGGCGTATCCCTGAGGCGGCAGCCAGAGTCCCATGGCCGTGTCTGACAAATCCACAAAAACGAGCAACGAGGTCGCACCTACTGTGACAGGAAACAGTATACCGCAGCTTAGCGTACTGAGGACACCAGATATGTCAGAGACAATGTGGCTCTCGCACCTCACATACCACCAAACCCCTGGTTCAACGAATGAGTACACCGAGAGGGGGCGTGCATCATCAGATGATGCTAGGTGAGTAAATGGTACATACAGTACGGATACGTAATCTGACACACCTGATAGTCCAACAAGGCCTGTAAATGGCTTGCTACCTCCCTTTTCAACTCAACATGTACATCTTCCTACGCCGCTGAGGTGAGCATGTCCGCTTTGATATTTACCCTATCTGTTCACTGTCGCAAGTGGCATTTGCGAATCTGCAAATCTTTAACTTTCACTCACTCAAGGAAATTCAATACGCGTGTCCACGCAAGACGCTAACTGTACTCTTCTTACAGCCCTAGTAATCTTGGTGCATATGGGCAATCGAACATTACTCCCAGAGGTCAAATGTAAGTATGTCATTTAACTTTCTAAAGGAAACAAAGCAGGAGTAATTATGTCGTACAGCTTGCTGGAGGACGTCGTGCCAACAGACTTTAGATCCATCTCGTGAGTGTGACTGACTGGTTTGAATCGATGTGAACTAGATATCCGATGTAGATATCCTGCTGCTTTATCTCCAACATTTAGGCCCCATAAAATGATCACACCAGATTCCAGGTATGGCTTGATTTGGTCTTATGTGTAGAGTCATTATGTTTAGTTTCAGCCCACTCGTGGTTCGTTCTCGTGCAAACGGACCTCACGGAAAGAACGACGAGAGAAGGTATGTATACCTTATAGGTCCATTTTCATGAATGTTGCTGAATCCCATTAGTCATTCGCCCCCTCGGATTATCAGAAGAACGCCGCCCACAAAGTTGGTTCATTCACAAACGCCGACTATGTTGTAATACTCAACACTTTCATAGTTCCCCAAATGGATCCGTCGGAGGCACAGCAGAACATTCTCCCCGCCCTCACATCTATGTCGCGCAAGATAATACATACAGCGCGACCACGCAACAATCAATGGAGGTCAAGAATGCCACTCCGAATAGAAAGCGTCCGGCATCTCAAGCTTCATCAACCGACTTCCTACTTCCGTCTAACAGCATTTCTTTACCACCTTCTGCATCACAGGAACTTAGCGAAGAGGTCGGAGGGGAGATGGCTCGGATCCGTGCACAGTTGTTAGAGAATCAGATCAGCCTCACACGAGAAGCGGAGGCACGGAGGCCTGATTACCTCAAGCGTGCAAAGCGTATAGAGTCACCACCCCCTCTTGATGTAGACGGCATAGAAGGACAGCGGGCAGCCGCAACGATCGGAGTAACGGAGAGTCCTATCAAAGGGCGGCGGTTGATGTTATTTCAGCAAACTTCTGACGAAAGCTTTGAAGAAAGTTTGATGGCAGGAGGGTATGATCGCTATGTATGTACCGATCCCAGTTGGCCTCGGCGGGCGTGCTGACCCTCTCACTACTTCACTGTTCAGCGCACGGACCTACAGCGACCTGCGGATCCTGGGGATCTGGATCCTTCTGGAGAACCTGAAGCATTTCCTTTGGTCAGCGAGCAGGAGCTCCGCCAACAGAACAGATTGTCCGCATTCCGGAGTTCTTCCCATGTTTCCTCCTCACGGTCAAAACTAGCTCCAGTTGAGGTAGAAGGATATGGCAGAGTCTTGATGGATATTGGACCCTCCGATCCACCCAGTCCAAATAAACTTAGTCCATCGAAGAAGAAGCGTTACCGGAAAAAGAAGAAGACACCTTCCATGGATGAATCAAGAGACCAAAAGACCTTCCATTTGCAATTAGAAGCAAATGCTGATGTTCCAAACTGGCCAGACGCCCAATTTCCGTGGCGCTTGCGTTCGGAGCAGTGCGATGATTTTTCCAAAATGGAGGAGGAACAACGCTTGCGGTACATTGAAAATTTCCTCAGCCGGGATTCGGATGATGAAGACGACGAAGAGAGTTTGTTTGAGAATCAAACAGTGCGTCCCGGGTTCGGTAGCGGTAGAGGCAAAACGTACCCTCTTCTCGCTCGTTCACAGAATCGAGATCGTGGTCCAACAACGGTATCCGTTGTTCCGAGCGATCCAGCTGATGCCAGAACTGCATTGCTATCGAAGCGATCAATCAGACAGTTCTCGTTTCGACGAGCGCAGCGTAAACCCACCGACGATGACATTGATGATGAAATTGTTTGTATTTGTCGAGGCAGCGATGATGGCCGAGAGTTGGTTCAATGTGACGAATGTCATACTTGGTACCATCTACAATGCATTGGCATTCGAAGTGTCGCAGACTTGGGCAGGGAGGAAGATCCCTGGTTTTGTGGTAGCTGTGCCAAAACACCCCCTCCAGATATCTTGCCGTCATTCGAGCCGACGTTCGTGCCAACTGAAGAGAAGCTAAGGCATGACAAAAGCTACGACCCACCCTTCTTTCATGTGGGCCTTAACCCCTCGCCAGCAGTCCCATGGAACAGCTCTCCACGCCCACCCATGACCCCACCTGGCCGAAGGGCGGGCCCTTATTTTTCCTCTGGTTCTTCGTGGGATGAAGCATCTTCCCAGCCTGGTCCACGGACACCACAACTCTCCTCTCAAAGTGTTCGTGTATACACAATGACACCTGGTTGTGCTGAGCCATTCGTGGCTGACGAATCTCCATTTGATCCAACATCGACACCTTCACGCGGTATCAGGTTTGGCGCTCCATTTGCAACACCAAAGAATAATTTTTGGCAGGGACGCGGTCCTGAGTTGTTCCACACGCCCACTAGACCTAGCGAGGGCATGTCAAACCGTCGGTTTGGACACCATTTGTTGGGAGGTGCGGATGATTCGCAACTTCCAATTACCCATCTCTCCTCTGGCCCTGACATCACACCAATTGGTCGTAATTTCGCCCCTGTCGGGCGTCTCGCAGAATCTCCACTGGCTGCGAAGAATTCACGACGCGGGCCAGGCGGCGGACGGTTTCTGGACGAGCATTTTGACAGCGCGAGAGGAGGACGCCATGGTTAACCATTCGCTTGTGTTTTCGTGAGATTGTATGTACTGCTTTTAACTCTGGTTGCTTTTGAGTTTTATCCTATTTGCCACACCCACTGTGATTATTGGAAACATACATTCCTTTATGTTACTGTATGAACGATTGTCTTTGCTTACATGAGGCTTTTGCGCATCCCTCAAGGTGCAGTGACTAAGACAATAAATCGCATATAAACAACGTTGAAATTCGACAATGCAATATTCGGCCCCTGGAGTAGCCAAGCTTCGGTGGCATGTGTATTGACCTTGTCACACATGACTGTGCTGGGAAGAGCGGCTGGAACATGTCGAAACAAAACTTAACCGACCGCACAATCCGGCACAGTTTGGTTCCCAGGGATTTTCCCGACACTCCGTGAAACTCCGCGGCATTGATATACGTTATAAAATCGATTTGGCTTTTGTTCGTTTCCACTGAATCCTCCAATGACAAGAAGCCCGTTGAGCGGCTTCGGGCGGCTCCAGCCAAGGTTGTTGCAAGGGTCGGCCTGGCTCGGCTAATTACAATATACTAGAAAAGTCCAATTTTTCAAGGTTCGAAATAGCGCCGTTGTAGTGACGGTCTCCCAGAGATTCCCACGACAATGATGGAATTCGATATAACTTGTAGCAACGGAAGAGATGAACTCGGTATTGCGGCCTGCACATTTAATTCTTCACCACACTTTCTTCCGCCATGTCTGTTCTTCAAGTTGCTACTGTACTGGCCAACCTTGCTGCCAAGGCACATTCTACGATGGCCCACGCTGGCTCATTAACTTCTAATGACTCAGAATGCTCCTCTGACGCTTCCTCTCTGGCAGAAGGTATTACTGTTGAGAGACATATGCTGGATCTTTTTTCTGACAAATTTTGTAAAGGCTCTTCCCCAACATCTGACTCTCGCCTCTATCTTGCCTTACCCCCACGTACCAACGAACATCTGGCAGTTCTATTGCCAAGGAGCCTCTGGAAGGTGCAGTCCAATGCTGACACACTTCGTTGTTCACTATACTCACCTCACCGCACTTAGCCCGATTCTCTCGCTGCTACATGTGATAATTTTTATTGCCACATCAAGTTCTCGGTTCTTGAGCGGCGTCATGTGAGCTCGAATTTTACATCTTATGAGTTAGTCTAGAACGTTAATTGTACATAACAGCATTGCAGAAAGTGCGGTGGCGTTTTTTGCCACCAGTGCACCACCCGTTCAACCCATTTACTTGACGTTTCTAATCTCGATTTCCTTCATCCTCCGCGGAATGTGCCTATCTCAAATTACGACAGTCCAACGTCACCAGTTCTCGTGAAGAAGGTCTGCGATGACTGTTGGGACCAGATCTATGGTTGTAATTCGCCTCGCACTCCAGACGGTAGACCATCCACTCCTATGCTTGTCAAGTCTCCGGTAGATTCTAGAGCTCCTTCTCCCAATTCGTCTGTTTGTGCATCTCCTGTGGACAGCCCAGTACCCCCCTCTCGACCCGTTCGCGTTGCCCGGAGCTCATCTCATTTCAGCACCGGACATATTCCATTACCCACTTCTGTCTTATCTCCTACTGAATTCGAGGTCCCTCAACCATCGTACGGCGAACTGGACGCATATCCACTACGGAGGTCCAGTATCATTTGTAAAGCAACAGGCGGTGGTCGCTGGGAACCCAAACATTCACCTCCCAAGATCGGGATCCGGATACCTGGTTACAAAGCACCATACGAAATCGAAATGGAACGAGAAGAACAAGAAGAACGCCGTCGCTGTCAAAATCCTGTTGTGCGCGATGGAGGTATGTGTCAGTCTGTTATCTGTGCCACTCCATCCTGAGTCAAATTGCAGAGTTTCAATATCGATTCCGGCAGGACCGGGTCGTGGCTAGTCTTCCCCGCACTGCTCTGTGTTTCTCCACTTTCTAGGTCGTCTGTTTTGTTGTTATCGGTGTATATATTGTGCGAGCTGTTGTATCCCTTCGTCGTGCATAATTTGCTCTTGACTTCTGTTTATAAGTAATTTTATGTTCCATTTTTCCATACTAATCTACTTGTTGTCCTTACAATTATTTATCATATCGCGCTTCTATATCTGACTGCATCTACGATACCATTGCTTGATTGATACACTATAGATATATACAATTTGTATACGCTCTTGCTATTCATACCAAGTATGTCCTGATCATCGAGTCCGTGCAGTGCTTCCCAGAAATTTCCTTTTCCGGAGTCAAGAGAAATTTCACTCACTAGTTTTAAATTAAAATTGAGCCTTTATTACCTTCTCTTCGAAGGAGTAGGCCGGCTGACTATTCCCGTCGTAATGCTAGCCCTACGCCGCGTCCAACCCTGGGCTGTTGGTTTTGCGCAGCGAAGTGCGACAAAACAAGTAGCCCTCGCATCGACAGCTGTAGACACTGACGGCTCGCATTCTCAGTCATCCGGCGAACCCGTGGCACCACAAAAGCATCCTCGGGCAATTAGAACACGTCGGCCTAGAATTTCGCTGCAACATCCGCGTGAATGGAATAGGCCTCTCGCATTCGGTGTTCTTCCTGCGTTCGATGAAGCACTGAAGGTCATCAAAGAAGATTCAATGGCGCTCAAGGATGAAGTAACGGCTTTGGAGGGAGCCATTGCGCGTGAAAAGGAGACACCTCAGCCTGACCAGCACGCGCTGCGGATGATGGAGGACAAGCTCAGAATTCTAGAAGTGCAGAGCGAGATAAATTTTCCTCAAGTGAGGTGGAAATGTGCTAATGGAATGGGTAAGCAAGTCCTTGACTGGACGTTGCGTATGTTCACAGTCCTTCAGCGGACATGTCTAAAGCCGTGGACAGGCACCTTTTGGAGCAGCGGTGGAGGAAAGAAGGTGCATTAGATTTGTTGGTAAGTGTGCATCAAGCAGTTCGGCAATGTTTCTCAATATCACATTTTGTAGATGGAACGTATCCACCAGATGAAGGTCGTGCCGGACGTTCTGCCTGATATCCATCCCTCGCTGGACCTCAGGGTCAACTTCCCAAAAGTCAAGTCGAATGCAGGGCTTCAGGCTACGGTTTCAAAGGCCGTGTACGAGCACGTTGAACCAGGAGTATTTCTTCTTCCAGAACAGGTATGTAGAGCAGGTCATTCGCGCATTCATTCCGCTGACAGTGCCTCAAGACTGTGGAGCCTCCTAAGATATATACAACTGTTTTTCATCCAGAGGAGCGACTATATACTCTTTTAATGATCGATCCGGGTCAGTCGGTGTTGAACTACAAGTGACCAGCACTGAACCAGTGACAGATTTTCCTGATGAGACCAATAAAACATTCCAGACGTATCTACATTGGCTTCAGTGAGCAATAGGCTTTTCCTTCAATTTGCCGCCTGACCTCTATTCAGACCGAATATCCCTCTTTCGAGCGTTTCTCCCTCCCCAGTGCCAAACCTGAACACCCACACTGCCTATATACCTCCTCACCCGCAACGTGGAACTAACTACCACCGCTATACCGTTCTACTCCTACCCCAACACTCCCGTCTATCTATTCATATGGTTGCGAAGGACAAGCGTACAGGTTTTGACGTAAGAGCATTTATGGAGAAACATGGCCTAGATAAGAATGTAGGCGGAGGTGTCCATATGTGGCGAGAGGTTTGGAGTGAAGGAGTTCCCGCGGTTTACAAGGAGATACTCAGTGAGTTTCGCAAAGTCTCCTTCACGAATTGAGCTCACGCTTGTTCCAGAAACTGCGGAGCCGAAGTTCGGGAGGATGCCCAAAGCAGACCGATATGGGGATTTTAGAGGGAAGAAGCGGTATGTGTAACCACTCGACAGCGTGTCCTTCGGTGATTGCCAGGGAAGCAATACCTCATAACTCTGAAACTCATTGATCCAAGTGATCCCCGTTGATTCCTCCTCCCACGCGATGAATTCATATATGTTTTATACAAAGACCGATTCTTCAGCATCATGTGTTCAGGCATTACTTACACATGACAAGCCATGTTGACAATTACATAAGATGGGCGCTGGTTCAGCTAACGACATGCCTTGTGTCTGGGTATCTGAGCGCTATGAACGATTGCCTAATAAGACGTGATTACTTACACGAGGTACATCGAGTTCGATGGCATCTGGTTTATGTACCACATTTCGTTACACATGTACAACAAGTGGATTCTTGAAAAAACTATTTTACAGCATTCCTGCGATAATCTACGTGTAGACGTTAATGGACGAGAATTGGAAATAGGCGTTTGTGAACGCGGTAGGGTTATCTGCGGATTGTCTGAGGGGTTTGCAATCGCACTAGACGTTGGGTGAGCACTTACTGTCGACGTAGGTCACGCAGTCTGACGGGCATCCAGAAGCAGCATAGACGGCTGAGTTGCCTGCCCAGTCGCCACCTGTACGTTGTATTAGCCTGGCATAACACGACAAGCAAGGCAAGACTCGCAGAACGTCAAGTTAATGATAATGTTATTGGCATCAAAGTGAGACGCAAGGTCACAGTCGGTGTTTGGGAAGTAAGCGGCAGGAGTTCCCTAGCAGTCGGATCGTACGTGAGCATTAATCCAACAGATGTAAGGACTATTACCCAGAGGTTGGTGTCGATGCTCGATGCACCGGTGGTAGCATCAAAGGGAGCAGATTCATCGTCTCTCTCCCAGAACCAAACTTTGATGTAGCTATTTGTGCGCTCCATAGCATACCTACAGAAGATTCTGTAAGGAGCAAGAGTATTAATCATGATTTACAGTAACGCACCATCCTCCATTGATACTGTTGAATCCTGGACCAAAACTATTGTAGTCTTCTGTTAATTGTACACCACAACCTGCATTTCCATCGACTGTGGCCTTTTAGTTAGAGATTGAAGCGAGCAATGATGGCCTTACCCGCAGTGTCACAGTTGGTTGAAACCGTAGTGCTAAACAATTAGAACCTTAGTCGGACGGTTTTGTGCGATGCCGATTTGGAACATACCCTAACTGGGTAGTGGAGTTTGGCATGGTGCAATCTGCGCGATAATAGGAGTTGAAAATAGCACATCTATAAAATGATGCTGAACCAACTAGGGCTAGTATGGAGTGTAGACTGGTTAGGCTCCACATTGTTCACGCCTTCGACGATATCGACTTCGCCCTAGTAAAAAGTAACTACGTCAGGATTAGAGCTATCGCACGCAAGGAAAAAAACAAACACCAGCAGGCCAATTGGATTCGTTGGTTTCCCAGACAGCCTATGATCCGTTACTATAAGCCTATTTCGTCGGTGCCAACTACTTACAGGCCATGTTCTGTGTTAAGATAAATGCGCAACATAACTCCTCGGATGAACAAAAGAGGCTCACCCGCATCCTTCAGGCATATGCTGCATATCAAAGCTGCCATCGAAATTCGTCAGTCGGTGAGATATTCATGAGGGATCACCTACACAACAACGTGCTGCGTGTACTGGCTGTTAGACCGAATCCTGACGGAATTCCGACCTGGCCCGCTGGGGGTCAAGACTGTAGTGTCATCCGCGCGCATGATGAAGGTGTTGCTCGTGGCATAAGTCAAGTTAAGCATCTGTGCCGTTGACTGGTTCACATATGTCCTGTCATCAACTAAGAAACGGAACAAATTGCGTGCGGGGTAGACATACACACGCCCATCAGTTGGGTCGGGGATGGCCTCGAAATTGAAAGAGTTATAAAAGCCTTCGCCAACGATTTTGTCGTTGAGAGTGTAGACTGCACCTGCCAAGGCCGATCCGGCAAGCGAAGCAAGAGCGAAACTGACATTAACAACGTTGAACTTCATGGTGAACGATAGCCTGTAGGACGAGAGTATAATCTCCTGCCCGGTCTCTGTATTTAAGCCTATCTGTGAGTCCTGATGGATGGGGAGTTCTGAGCTCGTGATAAGTCCATGTGAAGCATACCATGCGGCAGAGCGGGAGTCATGGCGGCCCCAGGTTAGGAGACAACCCTTTGGAAAGAACGAAAAATATTCCAACCTATTGGATTGGCACAAGTGCCAACATGATAGCGAAGGAGCTCCCTTGACCCATGAGAAGGAAGCATGTGGTAGAGGCGGAGAAACATCCAGACACAAAGTTGCGCAAAAGAGACCGTCGATCACGAGAAAGCTTTGAATAAAAAAAGTGCAGCGTCCGACTGCCGACCAGTTAGTGTCTTGAAAGACAGTACCTATTGTGAGCACCATATCGATCACCTGCATAACTTGTCATATGGACCCGCTTTTTGTGAAATAGGAAATTTGACTGCTTCAGTCGCGAGTGCCGTGGAGAACTAGGTTAAAATTGTACAATGAACTCGTGACACCATTTACATCCTAGAGTAGCAGAGGGCTCAAAATAAAACGCACCACAGAGATAATCTATTGGCGGGGCCCTCACTGAGAACTCTTGCCAATGTGTGTGCTATTCCGACAACATTCCGGTGCACCTCTCATCTTGGCCCAACTGGGCTCGGACAGAAGAATTGTTGAATCGCGTGACTCGGATCTATCACAAGCTTCATTAATGGTGCGGGGAAAAGACCACTGTTGCATGCGTATAGAGACGTATAGATAGCATGGAAGGTTTATTACTGTAAAAAGCAGGGGCAGTTGCTGAGTGCCATGATGCATTCAGACCGAAGTCTCCTCGGAAGAGTCATAATCAGAGACATCAAGAGAGCATACCCTTTCATACTTAATTATGCCCGAACGATCGTAGCGGTCTGTCGTTCGCGGTAAAATCACGAGTACTTGTCTTGATTGGAAGGAACGACTGTCCTTCCCTAGCTAGGACTTACTACTTAGTACCCAGTAGCCTCTAGTACTAGTAGTAGTAGTCTGTGGTCCAGCAGCATGTGACTAGCTGTGTCGAATTATGCAAGAGCCGCTGACGTAAGACTATATCTCCAACACCAGTGCGCAAGGCCTTAGTTAGGCTTGAGTGTTTCATGTGCTAAAGCCTACGTGCATCGGCGACCTCTTTAACCAATTCAACGACTAGACAACTTGGACTGAATTAGGCGGTTCATGTCTTCGAATACAGACGATGGGTTCAAGCACCAGGTTGCCATCCAACTTTCACGAGCATTGAACCTAGTAAACCCAAACGACTTGCTCGCAGAGCGTGTTATTGACATAGCTAAAACCAATTCCGCTGAAGGCTTTGCCAAAGGTGAGTTTCTCTGCACTGGAGTCCAGGCGCGCTCGCTAACACTTTGTTGCAGCGGCTCGGGCGTTTGGCAAGTTTCAAGATTCCTTTTTGACCGAACTGCATGACGAAATCTTGTCACATGTCAAGCAGGAGGCTTCTGGGATTGCTCCTCGTCCTGTCGAAGGTATAACTGTCCATGACAGCGAGGTGCTCGAGCCTGATCCAATCCGGCAAGGCGGCCTCGTGAGGGACGATACCGTACGTTTATCACCGCTCATTGTTCCGTATAATTGCTCATAATCTACAGAGACACACTTTCCGTCAGCCTGCAAAGCCAATTGAACCACCAACTCCTCGCGGCTCTCTGCTCGGCCTTGATCGACTAGCGAAAGAAAAGAGAGAACAGGCCCTATCCGAGAACGGCCCTCGAAAAAAGCCGAAGCTGAGTGATGACACTTTTTTCAAAGGTACGACAAGGTTGCAGTTTCGTAATATTATCTTACCTTGCATCTAGTCCCCAGTTTGCCAACCGGACGAGGCAATAGTTTGAGGCAGCGAGGAGAAGAGACACCGTCTCATCCAGGCGGTCTGTCGGATCCCGCACGGGCCCGCTTGGAGGAGTACCGACGAAACCGCGAAAAGCAGAAAGGTACGACTAATATATCCCGATGTGGCGTGTCGTTTCTGACTACAAAGTAACCACTTTAGAAGGAATCACTGCCGTGCAGGAGCAACGGTCTCACACTTCTCAAGGACTCGGAGATTTCCAACGACGATCAAATCGGGATAATGATAGGGGATGGGTTCGACGAGGCCACGACAGGGATCGGCAAAACGGACGCGGCTGGGATTCTACACCCCACTCAGAGCGTGGTAGTAGTAACCGCGATGCGCCTAGTGTCCGTGTGCCTAATGTTGGGTGGGATTCAACGCCAAGACGACAAGAGGGCGAAGGATCTGGCTGGGGAGGGGCAAGGAATCGTGCTTGGGATGCGCCAACACCGCGCATTCCGAGAGGCGGAAGCCCGGAGGATGATGGACTCCTTGGTGTCGATGTAAGGGAATGGGAGGAGGAGCAGCTGCGGCTGGACCGTGATTGGTATACTGGAGCAGAAGAAGGTGGTGTTGCTGGAGACGAAGAACACAACCCTTTGGCACAATACGAGGATCTCGCCGCATTGAAGGACGCAGAGATTTCGAAAAAACAAGTGGTATTTGGTTCGCATCTGCAAGTTGCTTAATGTCACTGAAGTTTTTTGTAGAGGAGAATATCGGCCAGGCAAGCGCAATATGTGGGACTTGATATACATTCTATCTCTTCTTTTCGTTTTGACTTTCTCTGTAGAATGCAGACAATGACCTCTGGGAAGCTAATCGGATGCTGACTTCCGGTGTTGCGACCCGTAAGGAAGTTGATCTTGACTTCGAAGACGAATCTGAGTCGACGGTGCATGTCATGGTGCATGATATCAAGCCACCTTTCTTGGATGGCAAGACGATCTTCACGAAGCAGCTCGAGCCCATCAATCCAATCCGCGACCCTACGAGTGACATGGCGATCTTTTCAAAGAAGGGGAGTGCTCTGGTGAAAGAGAAGCGAGAACAGGCGGAGCGGGCAAAGGCAGCCGCCAAACTTGCATCTCTTGGTGGCACACAACTCGGTAACATCATGGGCGTGAAGGACGAGGAAGCCGAAGCTGAAGGTGCGTGGTCATTCTCTGCCCTTGTGGCGCAGCTCGAGTTGGACATTCACGTAGTCCATTTGGAATGTTTCCTACAGCTCTGGCAGAAGCAAAGGCGAAATCTGGTGAGAAAGAGGATTATAAGGGGGATTCTAAGTTCGCTAGCCACTTGAAGGCTTCCACTGGGGTCAGTTCCTTTGCAAAGAATAGGACACTGAAGGAGCAGAGAGAGTATTTGCCTGCATTTGCATGTCGAGATGAGCTTCTCAAGGTGATCCGAGAAAATCAGGGTTAGATTTATGCTATGCAGCTGTGTCTACACTGCTAACATTTATGTTCTACAGTTGTCATCGTCGTGGGAGAGACTGGTTCTGGGAAAACTACTCAGCTGGCGCAGTTTCTTTATGAGGATGGATACTGCGCATACGGTCTCATTGGTTGTACTCAGCCGCGTCGTGTGGCCGCTATGTCTGTAGCAAAGCGTGTTGCTGAGGAGATGGAGGCAAGTGTCAAAATAATCTTCTTGATTTTTGTGCTAACCCTTTGTTCAGTGCAAGCTTGGTTCTACCGTTGGTTATGCGATTCGTTTTGAGGACTGTACATCAGCAGAAACCAAGATCAAATGTACAGTATCATTTCCCTCATCTTTAGCTTAACTTATCTTGTTTTCTAGACATGACAGATGGTGTTCTCCAGCGAGAATCTTTGAATGAAGGTGATTTGGACCGTTACAGTGTGATCATCCTGGATGAGGCACATGAACGTTCACTAAGCACTGATGTTCTTATGGGTTTGCTTCGTAAGAGTACGCCTTATTATTACCCGGCTAAACAACCTTGGGCTCATCATTTGTTCCAGTTCTGTCTCGGAGAAGAGATCTAAGACTCATCGTCACATCGGCAACCATGAATGCTGACAAGGCAAATATTCTCTACAACTGTTCTGGCAATGAGACTGACGTGATCCCAGTTTTCTGCGTTCTATGGAAATGCCCCTTGTTATACCATTCCTGGGCGTACATTTCCGGTGGAGATGTTTCATTCAAAATCACCTTGCGAGGACTACGTAGACAGTGCTGTAAAACAGGTTCTCCAAATCCATCTTTCGCTCCCCCCTGGTGATATCCTCGTATTTATGACTGGACAAGAAGACATCGAAATCACATGTCAGGTTATTAACGGTATGCAAGTCTCAATTGTTAACGACGCTATGTTCTAAATCTTTTGTTTAGAGCGACTGGCACAGCTTGATCAGCCCGCTCCTCTGGCAGTGCTCCCAATCTATTCACAGATGCCTGCCGACCTGCAGGCTAAGATTTTCGAAGCCACTCCTGATGGACGAAGGAAGGTCATCGTAGCTACTAACATTGCCGAGACTTCCTTGACAGTCGATGGAATTATTTATGTGGTCGACGCGGGCTACTCCAAGCTTAAGGTGTATAATCCAAAGGTCGGAATGGATGCCCTGCAAATCACACCGGTCAGCCAAGCCAACGCCAACCAGCGGACTGGGCGTGCCGGCCGTACAGGCAGCGGGTATGTGTTCATTTTAGCTGTATCACATTAATTCCCTCAAATTTCTGCAGGTTCTGTTACCGCCTGTATACAGAAATGGCGTTTCGCAATGAGATGTTCCCGAATACCATCCCAGAAATTCAGCGCACTAATCTCGCCAATACTGTTCTGCTCCTCAAGTCTCTTGGCGTCAAGAACCTGCTTGAATTCGACTTTATGGACCCTCCTCCCCAAGCCAACATCATAAATTCAATGTACCAACTTTGGGTTTTAGGTGCGCTGGATAATCTTGGCGATTTGACGCCTGTGGGTAGGAAAATGTCCGAGTTTCCCATGGAACCCTCTATGGCCAAGATGCTTATTGCGTCCGTGGATATGAGATGTTCAGCAGAGATGTTGACTATAGTGTCCATGCTTTCAGTACCAAGCATCTTCTACAGACCAAAAGAGAGGATGGAAGAGGCCGATGCCGCACGTGAAAAGTTCAACGTACCAGAAAGTGACCATCTGACTCTGTTGAATGTTTTCAACCAGTGGAAGAGTCATGGGTCAGTTCGTTCATCTTATTAATGCCGCGGGGTGCTCATTCTAACTCGCAGATTCCGTGATGAATGGGCTACGCGTCATTTTCTGCATCCAAAACTGCTCCGCAAAGCTCGTGAGGTTAGGGCTCAGTTAGAGGACATAATGAAGTTCCAGAAGATGGAGATTATTTCTGCTGGCACAGACTTTGATGTCGTCAGGTACTGTACAATAACTGCATCAATTATGTCTCATTGACCTTTTCGTAGGAAAGCTATCACTGCTGGCTATTTCCACCAATGTGCACGTGTGAAGGGTATCGGCGAGTATGTAAATATTCGCACTGGTCTCCCGACGCATCTGCATCCTACAAGTGCGCTTTATGGCCTTGGATGTATGTGATTGATTATTCTGTTTCTGGGTCTCGCTGACGACGATGAAGATACCCCCACATACGTTGTTTACCACGAGTTGATCTTGACTTCGAAGGAGTACATGACCCAGGTCACTGCGATTGATGCCATGTGGCTAGGTATGACACTGTCTTACACGTTCATCTCGGGAAATATTAATGATGATCGTAGCTGAATTCGGTGCGGTGTTCTACTCGGTCAAATTCAAGGACTTCGACGATCGTGGAATGCGGCGACAAGCCGATCGAGAATTCTCCAGAAAAGCTGAATTGGAATCGCAAATTGCGAAGCAAAGGGAAGAGTACGTGACCGACGATCTGACGAAATGGTTTTTTTATTCACGATTGTTGCAGTCATGCACGGCAAGAGGCAGAGAAAGCTCTCGCAGTCAAGGTTTCGAGTGGAAGCAGCTCAAAGATTATTGTGCCTGGAACGCCGAGACATCCTGGCCTTGCAGGCAATCGGGTTGGTCAGACACCTAGAAGACGAGTCGGGATATGATGGATGTATTCATTCATGGGTTGCTTGTGTTTCATTTTATCAATAGTGTTACTTCTTCCTATGCATATAGTTTTGCGCACGTGACCCTCGCTGGCATATCGGACAAGGCCGGCCGAGTGACTCGGTATTAAGCAATAAAATTTATGCAGTGCTTCTTAAGCTCCCTTCCCGACTTTTTTTCCACTCAACATGGCATCCTTCGCGTCCCGTTCAGCTTCAGCCCTACGTGCTGCTTCTCGCCGTGCACCTCGTGCCGGTGCAAAAATCGCAGCCAAGCCTGCACAGAGCGCGTCCTACTCTTTGCTTGCTCGTCAGGCTTTGGCAGGCACCTCGTGCAAAGTTGCCCTCCAGGTGAAAAAAAAGCATTGGCGTGACTGATAAGCGCTGACGGTTACATGCATATAGTCCGCTACTCGGGGCGTAAAGACACTTAACTTTGCTGGCACCGAGGAGGTTGTTTACGAGCGAAGTGACTGGCCGCTCGCGAAGCTCCAGGATTACTTCAAGAACGATACCCTTGCTCTCATTGGCTATGGTTCTCAGGGCCACGGTCAAGGTTTGAATGCTCGTGACAATGGTCTCAATGTCATCGTTGGTGTCCGTAAAGATGGCGAGAGCTGGCGGCAAGCCATGGAGGACGGTTGGGTATGTCCACCTCTGCTTTGGCTTTTAGGCATCTAATGTAAACTGGTATGTGATTAGGTTCCTGGAGAGACTCTCTTCCCCATCGAAGAAGCCATCAACCAGGGCACGATTATCATGAACCTTCTCTCTGATGCAGCACAATCACAAACGTGGTCCACCATTGCACCTCTAATCACCAAGGGCAAGACCCTCTACTTCTCGCATGGCTTCTCTGTTGTATACAAGGAAGACACCAAGGTTATACCTCCCAAGGACGTCGATGTCATCTTAGTTGCGCCCAAAGGTTCTGGTCGTACTGTCCGTACTCTATTCAAAGAGGGTCGTGGCATCAACTCTAGTGTAGCCGTCTTCCAGGACGTCACTGGCAAGGCCATGGAAAAGGCAGTTGCTCTCGGTGTCGCCGTCGGCTCAGGGTACATGTACGAGACCACCTTTGAGAAGGAGGTTTACTCCGATCTCTATGGTGAACGTGGTGTGCTCATGGGCGCCATCCGTAAGTCTATTCTCAACACAAGATGCATACGTTCTCAGCTGACGGTGCATCAGAGGGTCTGTTCTGCGCACAATACAAGGTGCTCCGTGCCAACGGCCACTCTCCTTCGGAAGCCTTCAACGAAACCGTCGAGGAGGCCACTCAATCTCTATACCCCTTGATTGGACAAAAAGGGTACGTGTATATTTCCTTTTGTGCACCTTTCTCTCATCGTTTGTAGCATGGACTACATGTACAACGCCTGCTCCACGACTGCTCGCCGCGGTGCGCTTGACTGGGCACCCATCTTCGAGAAGACCAACACGCCTATCTTTGAGCAGTTGTACGAGAGCGTGCGAAACGGGACGGAGACTCGCAAGTCTCTGGAGTTCAACGGCCGCTCGACGTACCGCCAAGATCTGGCAAAAGAGCTGAAGGAGATCGACGACCAGGAGATCTGGCGTGCAGGCAGAACTGTGCGATCGCTGCGTCCCGACTACAAGGCTGAGTAGATGGGGTCACGGTTGGATCAGAGCAGCTCTTACTTACATTTACTTCTGTCACGAAAAGCGCCAAGGTGGTGCACGCTATGTCGGAGAGCATACTGTATAAAATCGATTTTTGATTACACGTTATGACTGATTGATGATCCTCCAGCCTGCGACCCCGTATACAGGTTGTTCATGCCCCCACTCTGCTCAAGTTTTGAAAGAACAACATCTGTACTCAGGTGAAGCTCGGAGCTTGAGTGTTGATGCAAATTACTAGCAGTGGCTAGCGGGCTTTGATGGTAACGCGTGTTTACTCCACGTCATGTTGTATGTTGGCAGCTTGATGCTTGGCATGGCGGCGGTCGCTTCAAGTCGCGAATCAGACATGTGTCACAGTAGGTCCAAGGGCAAAGGAGATGAATTCACATCTGCGAAGCTCTCGAACCTGCCCTTACTTTTCGCTAACAATATCCTTCTGCACTTCTTTCAAAGTTTTCGAGACCAAGTAAGTATATGTAGGTACGCCCTTCGTTACCGTTCTTTCAACCGAGCTCAGAAGTAGACCGAATGACCAACATTGCCTTGATACCGAGGGTCTGTGTCACAAACCATGACTCCCAATGAACTTGACAGGAGGAATGAAACGTGTTGTTTAGAAAAGGTATGTAATGCATTGCTATGGCTGTACGTTCACTCGTTGGTGAGCTCGTGAAGAAATATGAACATGGCGACTGACCAGGTATTTCAGGAATATGGAGGTTGTGTATATGTGGGTCTTCGAATGTATAATGTGGATACTCAAACAGGACTTTGAGGCCTTGAGCTCCACCATGCGCGATTCAGAAACTTCTGCTTCCGACAAGCCAAAAGTGGAGATGGCAATATGTGAGACCGGATGATTAATGTGATTGTCTGATTTCCGGTTACACAGACCTCTGTTTTATATGAACTTGACGTCGAGGGACAACATTACCAGGTCTGTCGGTTTAGTTTACATAATACAATTGGTGTTTTGACAGTTTGTTTCACTTTTTCTGAAGGGGCTTTGATGGACCAACTGAAATGGCTATTTATGGGGTAGACAGAGAGGTCCCGGTCAAGCTTCAAGGGAAGCAGCCATCTGCCAGATCAGCTGTGCCTGATATGATGTCATCTCGGCTGTTGCAGTTAGGACATGGATCATTGATCCCTCCGCGCGCAGTAGTAATGTCGCATCTAGAGTTACATAAATATATCGTTAACGTTATTAATGTGTGTACATTTGCCGAGAACAAAATCATTGTTCTCCACCACATTCAGGCGCCGTATAATACAATATGTACTGACAAGCCTACCTACCATAATGTACAATAAGTGGGGTGAGGACAAGAACAAATGTTCATTGAAAGGCACGGCATAACGGTGATCTGCCACACGTCCGCTGAGTCGGACACACTAATGAACAGTGGAGCTATCATGTTCTCCCTAGTAACCTAAGATCCTGACCTACCTTGCCAAGGCCGACCAGCTGCAAGTATCATGGCGGTATCACATGAGAACCAGGTGCGCCTGGCCCATTCATCACCACTAGACACCTTGGTTCGGCGAACTTCGTCTAAACGACAGGCCGTCCAACGGAAAGAAGAACATGAGGCTCGGAAGCAGGCTACTGCCATCAATCCCTCTTTCCCAGTGCCATCTTCCTCTCGGTCAACTCGTTTTCCGGCGTCGTTACAAATCCAAGATTTGCATGCAACTTCTCCGCCGAGGCCATACTATGCAACTAGTCCGAGAGTGCCCGAGTCTCCTCTGTTGCACTCGCAATTCCGTAATTCGACAGCTAGCAATGCTGACTATCTTAACAGAAAGTCGTTTCTGTCGTTGACGGACGAATCAAACGGATATTATGACGAGCTTGAATCATATTACGAAGAGAATAGCATGTATTCACTGCGGCAAAGTCACACCCCCGGCGCTTCTACAGACAGCCACCGTGCTTGGCATACCACCCTAGAACCTACCAGTGGTTCCACAAATGTGTTGAACATACAATCCTCGGTTCATGACATGCATCTGTCAAACTCAAGCACTCCCGTTCCAACCGTCGTGGTTTCCCAGCCCGTGGATGTCGACAAGCAGGTCGCCGCTAATGAGCCAAAACTTGGCGGAAAGTCACCCATAGTTGACCCTACTCCCCGCATAAACTTTTCCAGGCCAGGCAGACCACCAATAATCTCCTCTGAAGAACAGAAACGCCAGGTTCTTGAACGAAATTCACGAAGAACCCGTTCTCCACTGACCGCTCATACCCCCCTTTCGTTTGTTCCAATTACGCCCCAGACGGGCGTAAGCTTTCCTGAAAACCAATTTTTGTCGCCTACGCCGCAATCTGATGCACACTCGCCAGGGTCCTATCTTCAACCAAACTATGCTGTTTCTTCCCCGACCCTTTCATCCCCCTCCCATGTACACCTCCCCTCTCACCCCCCGTCTGTACGTCCAAGCTCACCAGAAAGCTTATACTCCACCTCATATTCATTTTACCGTCTGAGCGATGGCTCTCCATCCCCAACTGGCAATTCAAATTTCCCTACCCAATCACCTTCCTCGCCGGGCAACCGTTCACCTTCTACCGAGCCTTCAACTCCACAAGAATATCTCCAGCTAGGAATACAATACCACGAGGCCAACAAACTACAAGATAGCGCATTTTACTTCGAGAAAAGTGCAAAGGAACAGGGTGGCTGTGGGACAGGGATGCTCTTGTGGGGATTGACGCTGAGGCATGGGTGGGGATGCGAGAAGAACGAGAAAAGTGGTTTCAAGTGGCTCACAAAGGCCGCGGAAAGCGCTGTGGATGATCTGGGCAAGGCGAGAGAAGGCATGGATGTGAAGGCTGTTAGAGTGAGTTCGATCTGTGGGGTTGCATATGGAAGCGCTAATGAATCTTCCTCAGTCGGAGCTTGTGCTAGCGATTTACGAGGTTGGGCAATGCTTCTTTCATGGCTGGGGCGTGGCTAAGGACTACAAGATGGCAGTCGTACGTCGCCACTGATTGTCTCTAGACCTGTGCTCACTAATCTCCAGAGTTACTATCGAGTTGCTGCAAACCTCGGCGACGGGGATGCACAAGAAGATCTCGCTTTTTGCCTAGCCAATGGCAAAGGGTGCAAAAAGGATAAGAAAGAAGCTGCTAAGTGGTATCGCGCTGCTGTGAGTACAACCAGCGTGATTCTTGCAAATTATATGTTAACGTAGTTCTGTAGGTCGCACAAGGTGCCAGCGACGTAGGGATGGCGTGGATCTACAAGGACAAATACAAGGGCTAGCGCGCTGGCCAATGATGAAGAATCCTGCACCGCGGAACAGCAGCTCTGCGCATCATCAGCGATGCCCACAAAAGGCCCATATTCGACTGAATCCTCACAACAGACGGTGGATAAAAGAGCTCCTCGAGGAGAAGGCGAGATCATGAATTTCTGTCACATATAACCATGAATATAGGAGAGGTGGACAGGACAATGGATGTACCATTTTGGATAAGTCATTTAATGTATCTTCGAACTGCGATTTAGATGTACAAGCTCTTGTCATCCTTTGCTTTGCCATTTGGAGTACTCTGTTGGTTAAATGCTTCGACATGAAGGACAAGGCGCCAGGGGAGCATGACTTGGCCGACAAAGCGACTAGTCTCGTTTCCCAGAATGTACTCCTCAGTGTTAACGAGGATGATATTCAAAAGTTGGTCAGTGCCCATAAATGTGCCAATGAACACTCGATTATCGGTCGTCGTGATGCGAAGTGTTGTAGTGAGTAGAGACTTGAGCGCTGTGATAGACGGAGACGTGCTTTGGTCAGTGCTTGAGGGCGACATCGACGACGAAAGCAATGAGGATGATTCAAAAGAGGTCATAAAGTAATATGAAAGAGCCGACGCCTGTAAACTCGCACGCTAACTGCCATCCAGTTGCAAGACTACAAAGTTAATGAACCCTTTCGCCAGCCCAGTGTCGCTGAACATGCAAGGCCAATACAACACGCCAAACACTCACAAGTATTCTGTTATTCTACCGACCTACAATGAGCGCAAGAACCTCCCAATTATTATCTGGTTGCTAGCGAAGGTCCTTGAGGAACAGTGCGTTCTGTCTGCTTAACATGCCGAAAGCCAGACTGAGTACACCAGTCAGCTTGCATGGGAGATCATCATCGTAGACGATGCGAGTCCAGATGGGACACAAGAAGTTGCCATTGAGTTGGCAAGGGCTTATGGCGAGGACAAAATAGTGAGTGCAAATGGATCACGCGTTGAGGTCCGACTGATTGTTGGTCAAGCTTCTCAAACCACGGGCAGGAAAACTTGGACTCGGGTAAGTACTAGGAGTAAGTATGGAAAATGAATGCGTCGTCAAATTGTGCGTACTACGTAGGACTGCATATATCCATGGACTCGACTTCTGCACTGGTGACTTTGTGATAATAATGGATGCCGACTTTTCGCATCACGTACGTGCTTCACCATCCTTTGACACACAAGTTTTAATGCGCATCCATCCCGTCAGCCCAAGTTCATTCCGCAATTTATCAGGTGTGTTGTCTTTTCCTAACTTTTCCCTGTTAACAACGTGTAGATTACAACAAGCACACAACCTCGACATTGTGACAGGAACGCGATATCGCTCGACATCCACTCCGTACCTCTCTGAAACTCAACCTGGTGGTGTGCACGGCTGGGACCTGAAGCGCAAATTAGTTTCACGAGGAGCAAATTTCCTGGCTGCTACTGTACTGAACCCCGGCGTGAGCGACCTAACGGGCAGTTTCAGGTACGCAGCTTATTAGTTTGGGAAAGGGGACTGGAAACTTAATGCTGGTGTAGATTGTACCGGTTACCCGTTCTTCGGCATATCATTACACTGACACAGTCCAGGGGGTATGTGTTCCAGATGGAGATGATGGTAAGGGCGCGGGCGCTGGGGTACACTGTTGGCGAGGTTCCGATCACTTTTGTGGATCGGATATTTGGAGAAAGCAAGCTCGGTGCGGACGAGGTCGTGGGATATGCAAAGGGCGTGTGGCAGTTATTTAAGTCGGTTTGAAAGTACTATAAACGTGGCATTGGCCTTTATTGATCATAATTTATGGTACTCGGACCCATTTTTTAGATGGTCAATTCGAACAATGAGAGTTTTCCAATATCTCATTGTTATCAGTGTGGACTGTGCACGTTGGCCTTGATTGATCATAATTTATGGTACTCGCTCCCATTTTTTAGATGGTCAATTCGAACAATGAGAGTTTTTCAATATCTCATTGTTATCAGTGTGGACTGTGGTTGGATGACATCATATATATATTCCATCTTTGTCAGCCTTTGGTTTTCATCCGAAGCTTCATCTCATCCAGATTCCAAACCACCTACACAACTGCTGCATAATGAGTTTGCTACAAGGCGTGCTCAAATCGCAATCACAGACCCATGAATTGAATGGACTCTATCCATCTTCCAGGCAATCCCAGGCTGAGAATGACTCAGACGATGAGCTCGTTGGCGTGGTATGCCCCCATACCGTCTACTCTAATATCAATTACTCAACATATTCTCAAGTTCTCACTACCAGGGACGCCAGCGAGGTCGAGAGGACCTTCACGTCCCTCATCGCGCCCTGTATCACCAACACGAAGAGGTTTCACTCGCTCTGCGAGTGCACTGCCATTGAAGGGCCTCTCGAATGACCCCCTAAAGGCATTTCCAACTCAAGTATCGCAAAACATTTTCCGGTGGCTTGGGATATCTGAGCTTGCGACCTGCGCTAGGGTATCGAGAAAGTGGAATAAGAGTCAGACACTGAACTACAGCAAGTCATATCTATATATTAGCGTGCTGTATGCTAATGGTCTACGTTGTGTTACAAGTTTGGTTCCAGCATTATAGGAAGGAAAACTTCCATGACGAAACTCTTCCCCCCGGGAAGTGGACTAGAAGGGAGTCGAAACAGAATTGGGTGAGTACTTTATCTTCCTGTGTCTGGCTGTATGATTTGATGATTTGTTCTCAGCGGATAACCTACATTAAATCTGTGTCGAATCGCTCGCCTCCATCATCACCGTTGCCTTCGAGAGGCTCAGGCCGCACTTCACCGTCACAGTCAGGCTATCAAACGCCAAAAGAACTTAAAGAAGAGCAATGGCGACAAGAGGAGCTTACGCAAAGCCGGCCAGGCAAGTTGGAGATGAGAGAAATGTACAAGGAGCTGGGTGGCCGCAAGAGCCGGACCAAGGGAAAGCTGGGAGGTTCTGGGGGTCATAGAGACCGGACGGGTTGGGGGGAAGGAGACGACGAGTAACGTGGAAGACAGGGTAGTATGTAGATATAAGTTTATAACTTTCTTGGAATTATCGCAAAAGTTGTGGTATATTGATTCATAGGCGATATAAGAATTGACAATCTCCTAATGTTTCTCTACTAATTGGGCAAACGCCGAGCGCATCGACCTGATAAAATGGAATATATCTCTTGTTTCGTTTAGTTCATTAAGTAGTATGGGGAGATTTGGCAGTGGTGGTGTGGTCGTTATCACTGGTTGGCGTATGTAAGCACCACCTTTGAGATACATTGTATTGACTTGCATACCTTGATTTGAGCTGGATGCAACGTCGAGCACGAAGCTGAATTCACAGTCAATGTCAAGCTTGTCAATGTGCGTAAATCGGATGAGGAGCCGGTCCTTCTCTATTCCCTCGATATGACAACGTAGACGGGTTTCGCAGGCATTTAATTCAGGTCCTGTTTGCGCTGCATGCATCTCCAATGTCTGCCGCTCTCGATCTTTTTCTGCAGAAAGTAGCCTAAGCAGCGTAAGCAAGGAAATTACAACGACAGTACTTACCTCTCTTCAAATTGGCAGTTAGGGCACGATATTGCTCTATCTCTGCATCAACGGACTGGCAGGTTTCACGGATCGATGCGAGCTGGCGTTTCAGAGCGGTAATTGATGTCTCAGCTTCTCGGACCTCCTCCTTTTCCCTTTCCATTACTGAGAGATGTCACTGCTGCACAATTACACCACAATAAGCATGACCACGTACCAGCCAGCAGCTCAATCTCCTTCACCTTACACTGATTAGTTTCAGCCTTTACTGCAACAGTCTTCTCAGCCAAACGTTTCTTGTCTGCCTCCTGAGCATTCCTATGTTTGGTGATCTCTGCTACTGCGCGATTTGCATAGTTGGTGACCGCTCTGAGAAAATTAGATGTGGAAGCTTCATATGCGTGCAGGCGCAGGTCGACAGAAGGGTTAGGCTCTGCGAGGATTGAAGCAAGATCAATATGAGTAGGACGAACTTGAGGCATGGTTTGGGCATGGTCAATCAAACAAAGTTTCGGACTCCTTTCCAGAACGCGTCCGTCATGTGACCGTATCAATTATATCCAGAATCAAACCACAGTGCTTGAGACTCATTTTCATCATACAAAGATCAATAGACCAGGAACATCTAGGATATCAACTGAGATATGCTCTATGGCTCCCCTTCCATCTAGATCAGATTCACCCCAATATCGAGATATACATATGGACACGGCAAAGGGAATCACATTGGGACTTCGGGACATCCACATGAGTACCGCAAAGCCTAACGGCGGCGCGTGGTCTGATGACATTTCAATGGACACTGCACGAAATGCGACAACCGTGAAAGCAGGTGGATTTCAGCTCTGGGAGAGGGAATTGCTCCAGAGCGCCGAGGTCAAGCGCAAGGCTACCGTGGCCCAACTATGTGAGCATATCATTTTGAGACCTTCCCCGATCTCATCATCTATGCTCCTACCAGTTTTTCTCGACTATTACTTTATGAACCTTGGATATATCGCATCCAGGAAAGAAAGGAGGGCACGCTTTGACACAGATACTACCAAAAGGCAGCTAACAGCCGCGGAGTACGCAAAGGAGTTCAAGTCGTATTGTGGGCGAGAGAGAGTAATTCTGAGAAAACGCAGAGCAAAGCTGAGGGTTGACCAATTTCATATCATCGCACAAGTCGGGCAGGGTGGTTATGGTGAGGTGTTCTTGGCACGGAAACAGGACACAGGAGAGATATGCGCTCTCAAGAAGATGAAGAAACGTATATTGTTCAAGATGGATGAGGTTTGTTATTCTACTAACAGATCTGCATGAAGACTGATGTATTTCAAGGTGCGGCACGTCTTAGTGGAGCGCGACATCCTTACCGCAACCAAAACACCCTGGCTCGTCAGACTTCTTTACGCATTCCAGGACGCACAACACGTGTATTTAGCAATGGAGTATGTTCCCGGAGGCGATTTTCGTACTCTTCTCAACAATTCTGGCGTTCTCAAGGAAGAGCACGCAAGGTTTTATATTTCAGAAATGTTCGTCGCTGTCAACGAGCTTCACAAGCTTGGTTACATTCATCGTGACTTGAAGCCGGAGGTAAAACTGTGTCGCATGCGCAAGCTCTGTAGTACTGACAATGCCTCCAGAATTTCCTTGTGGACGGCACCGGACACGTCAAGCTGACTGACTTCGGACTTGCCACAGGTGCCCTCAATCCCAAGCGCATTGAATCGATGAAGTTGAAGGTCCGTCTGCGACCCTGACTTCATCCTGTGCGCTCTAATATTTCTCAGCTCGATAAAGCGAAAGACGTTCAAGTCGTCTACCGCTCTACCCTAGAACGCCGCTCCATGTACAAATCCATCCGCGCTGAAGACCCACGGTATGCAGACTCCATAGTTGGCTCACCCGACTACATGGCGCCGGAGGTCCTTAGAGGCAAACCATACACTTATTCAGTCGACTATTGGTCGCTAGGTTGCATATTCTTCGAATTTCTCGCTGGGTTTCCGCCCTTCAGTGGTGGTACACCAGAGGAGACCTGGACAAACCTGAAGAATTGGACGAAGGTACTGAGAAGACCAGAGTATGACAAGCCCGAAGACTTGATCTTCAACTTGACGGATATTGCATGGGATGCCGTGACCAGGTACATGGCTTGCTACCGTGTTGTCTGACGACGCTGAATACCTCTTGTTTCCTGTTCAGACTCATCTCGCACTCGAGTGTTCGATACTCCACTCTTACACAGGTCACAAGCCACCCTTTCTTTGACGGGATGCAGTGGGAAGACCTCCGTTCAACACGTGCACCGTTTGTGCCTGCTCTTGACTCAGAGATTGATACTGGGTACTATGATGATTTCACTTCTGCGGAAGACATGGCGAAGTACGCTGAAGTGAAAGACAAGCAGCGAAATGTGGAGAAGGTGAAAGAAAAGGAAGAGCCAGAAGCCCGAGGTGTCTGGGTTGGCTTCACCTTTGGCAAAAATGGTCCGGGAGGAAAGCTGTTTGGTTCGTTGGATTCCAGTCAAGATGATGGTGAAGCATTGGCTACTATATTTTGATATCTTGGTACTCTCGCTAATGTCTCGTGTTCATCATGAGGGTTTTGTTCCCTATTCCCCAGTCATTGCAGAAACAACAGATATCGGGTTGCCGTAGAAGTGATGACAACTAAGACCTGGTGTAAACCCAAAGATACAGATCGAGGGATATCAAGACGTAATCAAACCTCGAGGCTTGAGAAAGGGAATCCAATCTTGTAAAGCTTAAGTAAGAGAAGTTGAGTTGTGATTCTCAAACGTTAGGGGTCCGACGTAACGGCTAGTCAAACAAACACCCGGCGGTCTATGTCAGTCACGGTCACTCTCAATAGTATCATCTCATCCTATCTCACCCTAGATCATCTTCATTGATTTAACTTTGTTCCTGGCTCTCCCTGAGCCTATCATGGCTTGCACCTCCGAAAAAAGTCGTTGACTCGTGGAGCGCGTGGGCCAAGAAATATTCCTATGTGACAAGGCGTTCAAAAGCAGGAACATCAGAGAACCCTGCACCTGTAGTTCCCATAAACCACTAATTACACATCGGGGTTATCGATATTTAGGAGATGTTTTTATGTCGTACCAAATGTGAAGAAAATATTTGAAATTTAAACCGACATAAAGATGGGGACATAACTTCAAATTTTGGTAATGTTTTGGACTGACATACAAAATTTCAAGCATTGGCAACCATATTCCCACCGACTATATGTCAACAACAATAAGAAATTTAATCCAATTCTCTGCGTGTGCTCAAATTTGAAGTTTAATTCAGACCTAAAATGGCAGACAAAACATGAAATTTGGGACATGACTATATGCCTGCTTATTTATCAAGTTTTGTCTGACAATTAGGACACCCTGAAAATTTGAAGTTTACACCGGTGGCAAAATGTGATGACAAAACTTCAAGTTTTGTCTGCAGACGAAATGAATCGCCCGATCATCGCCCGCCCATCGCCCGACCATTGCCCGCACATAACTCATTCGTCGCCTGCTTACCACGCGAACTCGTTACCTCGTGTATGACATTTGCAGATATGCGAGAATTCAAATATACACTGTTATTATCATGGATATCTAGTAATAACATATGACACCGATACAATACAATACAATACGATACGATACAAAAGATACAATCGTCAGTATGAATCATTGAGAGGGTTTAGCTAAATCTGTCAATCGCGAGATAGGGATAAAATTACTGCATGAGAGTCAGAAACCGCCCACCGTGCAAAGTGGCCAACTACCCAGGACACCTTGACTTTTTCGAGACTACTCTGTAAGTTTGTCGAGTACAACTTGGCCGGAAAATCGGGATACATCGAGAAGGGGTCATTGTGAATATCCAGCGGGAGATGTCGCTGTACAGCGAACGACATTTCTCCTGTCGTCGTACCATAGATATATATGATACTAGCGGGGACAGGGGTCAACGATCTATCTCCGTCGGGATAGAACAGAATCTGGCTGTTTCCCAGGTGCGTAGATGCCCTGCTGTAAATAATACCATCAAACTTGAGTGAGGCCCGTAATACTGCTTTTCGCCGTCGGATAAGGGTATATAAATCCTCAGGCACTGCACTGGTCGTTGCCGAGTCAGGCGCCTGGACGACATCATCCATAGGATCTTCAGCAAGCTCTTGGTGGGGATCTATAGCACCCTTTGGGGCATATACTTTATCGAAAAGGACCCTGCACTCTTGGATAGCAGGCGGACAGTCCGGTCGAGCGAGCCAACGGCGAAACCTAGTAGCCTTGATATACGAACAAAGCATTGTGTTCTCGAGCTCCCCTGACAAGATATCAGTCTACTTTTTTCGTTCCGTATAATAAGGGCTCACCAAATTTGTGATTTACGGGGAGACGTTGAAGTATTCCAATCAGACGCTCGAAGGGAAAACTCCACCACGAGTGGGCGGGCCCGAATAGGAGTAGATAGTCATATAAGTGGAAAGACGCATGGTGATTTGGGCGGAGAGAGAAGGTAGGATGGATCTCCTTCAACTTTCCGACATAACCAGAGATGTACGAGCGATACGCTTTCGCTCGTCTTGCAGTCATGGTTCGTGCACATGCAATATACACCGCACCGACAAGTTCCATAGTGTGATCAAGAACAACTTTGAGGCGGACAGCGAGTTCATCGGAAGAATGTGAGGTACCGGCTCCCCACAAGCTCACAAGGGAAATAGGAAGGTAGACCATGATGAGTGATCGCCACTCATCAGCTTTAAGCGTCCCAGCAGATGCCTCTCCAAAATTACTAGGGACTGAACCAAGCCAAGTGGGGACAGATGTATCTCGAATGACGTCGCAAATACGTCCAAGCACTTTTGCTGTCCCAAACTGAGGTTCGTCTTGGGGAGCAGCTAAAGGCTTTCCACGACGCTGTATATGAGCGTTAGGAAACTCAGGACAGTAAACACGATGGCGAAGAACTTACCCAGTCGAGGAGGACTTTAACATAATCTATCTTAAATGTTCTACCAGCTTTACTTGGCATACAACCCAGGGTATTGCAGACGAACTTCAACGGTTCCGTATTCTTGTGCAACAGAGAGTCCTTCAGCTTGTTATAACAAGCCTCTTCGTCGGAAATACTCATCTGGGAAACAAGGAGAGTCTGGATCGCAGATATCTGCGTCATTTCCTTCGACGTCATTGTCCCGGGAGGCACTTCGCCAAAATCATACGTAAATGCGGGAATGACAGAAGTCGATGCGGTTGACCTCGAAGTCAAACCAAGTAGATTACGAGTGTGGTGAGGAACTAAGCCTTCCAATAGGCAGTGCATTGGATCAACAACCAGTTGCCGAGAGGGGTCCCAGTATGGTAGATGCCAAAGCTCGGAATAACGCACGCCGTGAGCCTTGAACAATGTTTCACGTTCACCGGACGTGGCAGCGTCTCTCCACTGCTCCGCATATACTCGGAGTTCGTCTCTATTGCGAGGTTTCCAATTCTCGAAGTCTACTCTTCCATAAGTAGACTTGTGGTAGCAATCACATGCACTACAGTAAAAATGACTACTAACTCCGGCCAGAGAAGCGATATGTCGAGCAGCAGGAAGGTCACAAACAACCAGGGCAACGGCACTTCGAGTAACGCGGCCGTCAGGGTAACAGGCAGTTTTGGAGAATTTGACACCGCACTTCCATGCGTCTACTAAGTCGTTGATGAGCGGTCGGATGTAGTGGTTGAGATTTTCTAGTGATGGCTGCTTCGGACCTGGGATGATGCCTGCAACATACATGTTCTCCGGCTTGTATCTAATATCCAACGGTAGATTCAAGCACGCCATGGAGATGATTCCACAGGATGTGCTAGCTCCGCGTATATTCAACCCTTCCGGATTGAAGAAGTCCACAAAAAGGGCGAAGGCATAGCGCCCTTCCTCTCCTCTGTCAACAAAAAGCAAGCCTGGCTCCGGGCCACCAAACTGACGGAGGAATTGAGATTCAAATGGATTTTTGACGAAGGGCGGATGAGGAGAGTTAATGGATTCCATGAGATCATCGCACGCCTGATCCATTACAGCCTCGATATCTCTACGCGAGAGGAGACTAGCAAGATAATCTTTGAAGTCGTGGTACAAGAAAATCTTCTTGGGCCTGGGTTCTCCGTCAGCGCCGACAAGTAAATCTTCGCCACATTCGGTCTCGGGAGTAGGACAATGTGTGCAACATTTGGGGTATGTTGGGGTGGTTGAGCCTGGCGCATAAATCGGCGCGTAGGTGCAATGACAACTGCAAATGGCATACGGGATGGTTGTCCCGGTAAGGTGGAATTTTGCCTCCGCACTTTCCGATGTTAATGGGATCTGCTTGAGGATGTTTTCGTGTGACGAGCTAAGACTACCGTCCGACTTCCGAAATGCAAGGAACAGTATGATGATGATAATCTTCACAATCAAATCGCAGCTACTCCTGCTCATTCCCATGATAACCCTACATGCGACGCAAAGTAATAAGACGACTTGGCTGATTTCATCTGATCGATCAACTGAAACCTGAAAGGTATCTATCGTACAATAAGCAAAGAACCCGTGACCCACATGCTCGTTGCTTACCGGTATCAATCTCGATGGGTACCAGCACATCGTCAGACGGCTTATGCCTGCTGATCTGGGCGGCCAAGTCATCAATCTGAGTGATGATTGCCTGCTTTCGCGCCATTATGACATCTGCCCGTCGACTGACATTCTCGACAGCTTTGCGAAGCAAAGGTACCTCGCGGCCAGCGTCATTAAGGTTACCAGAATCCAGTAGCAAGCGGAAGATCCGTTGAATTCGGGACTCGATGTTGTCAAGGACATCTAATGCCCTCATGGTTCGCCGATCGCGTTCCTTCTTGGATACTTTCTCGCCAGCACCCTTGCGGGTTGACTTCAAGGGTGGTGACAATGTTAACCGCCCGAGTTCATCCGCCAGAACACAGACATGGGATGGAGCGATGCTGCTGCCAGCGGTGGTGCATGCGGAAAGATTAGAGGTGACGGCCGCGGGCTCAGCATGTTCAGCCTTTACACGCTGGACATGAGCAGCGATTAAGCGTTCTGCCATCAACACTCCTTTTGGTGCGCCTGATTCGTCGCATCCGCCCCTGGTAATACACTCCTGACACATGCATCGTTTGAGCGATGGACGGGACGCAGGCATCAGGTGAATGACGACAGTATGTACCGTCGTCTATGGGTGATGGTTAAGTCTAGAAGAGTAAAGACCGGGATATGACCATTTAAATACGATAAAAGAACAAGGACAAAGTGGGGGCGACTCACAACAACGTAAAATTTACAAGGAAAGCAAGGCGACAAAGTACAACGTGCCTACTTACATGGGCGCCGATAACGATAAACGAATGCGGATGAACGTTCTGAGTATTTGCCAGAAGGAGCGTAGCCACGCGGGAACGGAAATGGAATAAAGGTCCGGTGGAGGCAGGCGACGAAAGGATGGCATGACAGTACATACCGTCATGCCAAATATTATCGATGATAGATGAGGCCCCAGCAGTCGAAGTCGGCTCCTCATAGAAATGGAAGAAACAGAGGCGAGCGACAACACGACAGTACATACCATCGTGCCAGGACAATAAAGGATGACTACTACGCTGAGAGCAGTAAACTGCACTCACGTGACTAAAGCCTAACTTATGCAATCAACAAGCCTCAACACAACCACCTCCAAGTCCTTTTCGACTGATCAACTCTGAACGCTCGGTGGTATGTACTGCCGAGTCTGAGTCGAGTCCAAGTCTTCCTCCCACTACCCAGCGGTCTGTACTGCTGAGAAGTGTCGGGTTATTGTCCTCGCCTGACCATTTTCGGCTCAGCTAAAACCCTGTGGTCGACGCAGTTACCGGGCGACGACAAGCAGTCCTTCAAGCACCTCAGTCAAGCGAATTTTTCTGGCAGTCAGTTGCCTGCTCGCAACATATTTATATTCAGCTCCCAATTGTTTCGCGGGTTTTTGTTTACCTAGGTTCTTGATCTTTTGTTTTAGCGACTCCTGTATTACTACTTGTAGCACTATGTGCTCATCTTTTTGTAGTCACTTTGAATCTGATAATCCGACCTCTCCTAATATGATTCTACCCTTGACCTTCGACGTACTTTCCTTACTTTCCACATCACTCCCGGCGTGAACCGCCGTATGTACCGTCGCATGTCCTTTCATTGCCTACCTCCAAGTTCGATGGTCTCATCTCTCACACGACGGTATGTACCGTCGTGTCATCGAGTCATCCTTTTGTTACCTGACACATTGATTATTGATTTACATCCTTTGGAGCATACATACAATACATACACTACACTACCGCAACCTGCATCCATTTGAATCTTTTGTCTGAGATTGATAACTTCTCGACCTGATGTTTGCTGAGGCCCATGAGCCATTCTTCGCTATACAAGGCTTTTGGCAATTCCTCAGCTGGTACCCTGGAGGTCTTCGGATTCCCGGCTGCGCGTATCCTTTTCATTGGCTTTGAGCCTTGGGGGGCGAATATATCGTCATCCGCAAGCCTCTGGTGATCAACGATATCCAATTCGCGTTCTACCGCACGACGCCATACCATGTTCTTGACCCGAAGGACTGTTTCAATATCATTCTCCAAATCGCTCTCTTCCGAACTCATACCACATTCTCCCAACGTCTTCACTAGTTGCTGAAGCCACTGCCACGCTGGGAGGTCCTCTTCTTTATCATCGGTCTTCTGCTTAACGAGATGGTCAAGAACTGTTGCTCTATGGAGATATTTCTGAGAAAGTATCAGTGCTAGAACCGTCTGGATATTGCGAGCATACGTTTCTGCGACGTGTCGTTTGACGAGTCACCTTCAATAATTCGTCCTTCTTCGCGATTAACCTCTCCTCTACCTCCGCAGGAGTTTCCAGCACACCCTTTGCCGTGACCTTAGGCTGGGCACACGTCCAGACCGTACGCAGTCGCTTGTAGCGATCTCGAAGAATTTTCCTGAAATACGCCTCTGACCTGGCGAATGGCCACCTCTCTTCATCGCCCCTTCTCCGTAATTCTCCAAGTAGCAGATCGATGATTCTACTATTCCAGGGGGTTTTGGACCTGTTCTTGGTATCGAACGCGAGGTTTTTCAGATCAGGACCTGGGCCATCTTCATATTCATATGAATACACATCCTCACGACGAGCTGCCTCATGGGCTATGAAATCAGCATCTTGAGAAATGTTGAACATATCTTTGAAGAGACGCCGCACTTCTCCCTACTTCGCCATAAGTGTGGGAGCTTCTATATGATGTTGGGCTTACCAGCAGGAAGTTTCTTTCGTAGTTTGATTCGCTTGCCTTTTCACGCTGTACTTCTTCCTCCTCTGTCTTTCTCCTCCGGGGACTGCGCTTTTTGAGACCCGAAAATTCTTTGTCGACGAGAACGCGTCTCAGTGCAGCCTCCACACCTCTTGCGATTGCGTCCTCCATGCTGAGGCTGGCACGAGGCGATGGATTGTGCTGCTCAGGTGGTGGTACATCTTCTTCGGATGATTCACGAGGGACTTCCTCGGTGTTCACCTACTGTCGTCAAATCTTGTATCGCAGCCAACAGCATCAGACCCTTACCTCTGCTACTATTGATACAAGGCGAGTCCTGCGTGATACTCCATGAGTTCTCTTTATCCTTCTAATCGCATCACGGCATGGGGTACCTAACGACGGTTTTGCGGATGGTGCGGATGACTGCCCTGTGTCTCTCCGCAGAGGGGGGTCATTATCAATTTCTATATCATCGTCCTGTACCCTGTGACGCCTGGCAAATCGTTGTTCCATCCTGGCCAGCTCGCTCTCTTTTTCCGCCTGGAGTGCATTCAAGCAGATTTCAGCATATTGCCTGTGAGTTTATGAAACAACATTCTCACCTTCAACTTCTCAATTTCATGCTGTAGTCTCCTTTCCATCTCCGTGAAGATGGCACTCGATTGTTCTCGACACTACCTTGATCGTCATGAACCATTTTCTTGTTAAGTTGTTTAGCTCACCTCTTCTTCTTTCCTTTTCCTTAATTCTTCCTCTCGCCTGGCCAGTTCTTCACCCAGCTCTGCTTCTCGCCGCCTCAATTCTTGTGTAAATCGCTCGCGAGTTTCCTCCAGGATTTTATGCATGCCAGCGTCTATTGCCTCGCGATTCGCCTGGCTGAGTGTTTCGCGACTTTCTCTGATATAATCTTCAAGTTGCTTCTGCTGTTGGGCGCGGTTCTCTTGCTGCTGAGCGTGGTTCTCCTGCCATGCCACGATGTCAACATGCATTGTCTGTCGAACGCTGCAAAGGAATTACCTCGAGTTCTTGGTGGACCTTTTCTAGTTGCTCTTCCCGCTCTCTTAGAGCTGCTTCCCACTGCTTTTTTATATCGTTTTGCTACGGCCACCGTCACATATTGGTAATTTGCAGTAAGATACTACGAACCATCTGCATTTCACGCCTCATAGTGTTGATCTGCTCCTCTTGACTGTATACGGTCTGGCACAATGTCTCTGAGTAGTTGACTTCTTTAATGCGATGCTTGTCCGATGTCTGTATAGACTGAGCTAGTTATTAACTTCTCTGTACTAGTCGTACCTTATCGACGACCTGCTTTTGTTGTACATGCAGCCTTTCCCTCTTGTCGAGAACCGTCCTTGTGGCGGGCGGGCTTGTGACATCCTCTACAGTCTCTTCAAGGTCCATCTGGTCTATCTCCCCGCTTGATCTAATTGGAGGTACCGTATTGACGATCATATTGGAAGGCTGACTTGTATCGTCTTCCATGGCATCGTCAAATAAGCCTACATCGTTGTATGTTTGAACATCTTCCGGAAGAAAGCGCGTTCAGTACTGACATGGCAATAGGAATTGTGATTTAGGTTTGGACGTATATGTCTTTACTTTATATGCAGCCTTATCGCGCGCTTTTCGGTCATGAGTTGGGATTGAGATTGAACAAGGAATATATTAGGTTTGGCTTTGAATTAATTTGAGTTCAAAAAGTCACAAGTTAACACTTATTGTTTATTGTCGTAGTTAATATCCTGGTTAATCAAGACAATAGCTATTGTCGTGTGCGATGTGCTCGGTTCAAAGTCATGCTCGGTTCAAAGTCGTGTACGGTGGGTGTGTGGTTGGTGTGCTCGGTTCAAAGGGGAACTACTATAAAATCCAACTTTCATCGCCCACTTTCATCGCCCATTCCCTCACGTTATCCTTAGCGCTGGTCGCCTTGTCACTTATTTTTGTCATTCCTTTGCTGCAATGGTCAACACTCGCGGGTATATCTTCCCTACGTCGTTTGTAAGTTACCTTACCTCACCTCACTCCTGATCCTCGCTGACAGCTGTATAAGACTCCAGAGCTCCATTTGCATTGTAGGCTGTATTCTGCGTCGGGGAGTAAACCTCGCCAGGTCACTATGTTGACGCGATGCTCCAATCGCTCGCGCAAAGCCCAACGCTTTCCCGTTGTTGAGAGCCTCCTGAATTACGCTGCCGTGCAGCCTTACGTGCATAATTGTTTTGTTACCCTACATGAAGGGAGACACATTACCAGTTTTGCGTCTTCTTCAAGCGACACTGTCGTCTGGGAGTCAACCCCCTTCTTAGCAGCGTAGAACACATATTCCGAGGTGACGCAGTTGTGATGAGGGTTGGCGTTAGCAGTGGCTCTGTTGTGAATATGCGAGGCAGGGACAATGCGCTCGCTGACTTTATCATGCATCAGTGAGTTCAGTAGATGGTCATTCCTTGAGCCTCGTTGATCTGGTACCTGTCAGATTTACACGATACATTAAACATCATTTTCGAGCAAGGATCCCACGCACTCTCACGTTTGTGAAGCCACTAAGCACTCGGCTCAACCATCGGCTGGTTTCCAGGTTTCATGAGGCGGTAGTTTGATACTTGAAAGTGATTGTATAATGATTGTAGTAAATAATAAATGAGGTTCGCCCAGAGGGTGCTGTCATGAAGGATACGCAAACAACGAGGGACGCTATAACAGTGACCACAGGATAACGCACACGACGGTACATACCGTCGTAGATGGCTGGTCGACGATCGGTGGGCCTGTGGGGTCAGAGTAGCAAGGTTGAATTTGGTAAAAGGGAGGGAGGTAGCTATTAAGAGAAATGATTTACGACAGTACATACCGTCGTGTCAGGAATGACCCATCAACGGCTGAGTCGTAACTCGAGTTCAGGTCTTTCTACATGCATCCCTACAGTCTATCACTCCGCTTAATTTTTGCTCAACGTGCCCTTATTCAGAGACTAGGTCCCAACAAATATCATGCTGACATTTTCTACGGAGTAATTTACGATATTGATATAGGGGACAGGATGAATCAAGTGGCCTGTAGATTAGCATTAGCCCTGACCTTCGCAATAATAATAGAGCTCACAGGCGATGTATGTGTCTTCCTCTTGCTCTTGCCCAAAGCCATCCCTGCTTCCTTCTGCCTAGCACGTCCCGACGTGTATTTCAGATGCATCATGATGATATCATTCACCGGCCAGCAACTACTGTAGTTGTCTAGGTCGGAGAAAGCATCAACAGCCTAATAGATCATGAGATTGTGGATGATCGCCATAGAAGGTGTACTGACTTGTCGCGCACATATCTCAGGAGCGCAGGGCTTTGGGAAGAGGCGCACTTTGTGGTATCGAGATGTTCCTCGACAAGGTGGTGCATAGATTTCTTGAGGCGTTGATTTAGTAAGCAGCAGACCGCAGTTGAGAACATGTCACTAACCTTGAATTTCGTGTATGCCTTTGGACTCCAGTTTAAACTCTCCTGGAGCGTGTATCCTCCCCACCCCGGACGACCAGGTTCGCCAGGGGGCTTGGGTATCTTTGAGTCTTCTGATAGACTCGCGGCCGAAGTAGACGAGCCACTGTCTGACACCGAATCAATGGAGTCGGAAGAATCGGAAGATACTGGTGACCAAGAGAAAACCGCTCCAATGATACTCTCTTCGGGTACGGCGAGAAACAACGATTGGTCTTGATGATGGCGCCGCAAGTTTGATCTCAGGCGTGCCCTTGAGGGCAGGAATAGGTGGGACGATGGTGCTAGCTTTGGCAGGGAGAATCTCGTCGGAGATGAGTATAGTTGGGTGATGAGTACTTCCAAATAACTCAAGCTGGTCGGTAAGCATGGGAGGAAACGGTGGGTGGAGCACCAGGCTCTTGGTCGTAGAAGGGAGAGACAGGAATCGTTGTGTTGCGCATGACGGTGGCGATGTGAGCGGGTATGAACGAAGGTAACCTTCTAGCAAGATTTATGAGTATGGCCACCACTTCGACTGCCATATTGGGTTGAAACAATACCCAATTACGGATCAACAAATACGTTGTCCAGGACGGCGATGACAAAAAGATGAGAATAGAAAGTACAATGGATTTTAATAGACGACTGTAATATAAGATTGGCCCTAAGTTGCTCATGAAAAAACCGAACACAGAAGTCAGCAAAATGATCGCCATGGAATCATGAACAAAAGTTTACTAAAACAAATAGAGTCATTATACAAATAGGCTGCGAGTTAATGAGCTGGCAATTACAATTGATAAGATTATACGCGACAATGTCTCTCTTTGCCTGGTCACTCTTCACGAAATCAACGCAACACTTCCAACATCGAGCGTGCCTCTCTACCTATGGCGGTTCTATCCATGCGCTTGCAATTTCCAATGATGGCCAAGCTCTTGCATGTCGGTGGTAACTCACATGCGTTCTAATTATGGCAGGGTGCTAACAAACAAGTAGGCACCGAGGGCGTTAAACTCTGGGATTACCAGATCACGAAAAGAACTCACATGCTCTCCCCTTAACTGCGAGTCGCGGGGTACAGTCAGCTGCGCTGTCTGGATCACCACAAGACTAGGCATGGCGGAAACACTTTGTTATGGAACCGGTTTAGGTTACGTGGCATTCTTGCGGCGTAGCCCAATAGATGTAAGAGAATCCTAGTTCATCGTTAGGCCTTCGCCTGACATCAACAGATGCATTTTCAGGAGATTTGCGTTAGGAGACTCGGATCGGGCTTTGAAATTACTTGCATGTCATGGGATCCGACGTCCTCCGACGCAGGTGCGCGGATAGCAATCGGAACGAGGGACAAAATAGTTCAGGTCCTTGTCCTCAACACAAATTCGCAACTGCAGGCTGTGTTTTCAGTGCGACTAGACAACACAGTACCTAAGTCTGTCGCATTTGCAGACGACCGAGGTGTCTATGCATTTGGACTGTACGATGGTAATTTCATCAAGTTGAATGGCGACGACGGCACGGTGGTGAAGGAGTATACCTGTAAATCAGTGATGTCAGTCCACAGCTCACGATCAATATACAAATCACTAACATTCTGTCAGCGGTCACGCAGCCGTCAATCAGAAGAGAGGCGTGTTCGTGGTCGACAACGCAGCAGACGGTTTTACGCTGTACCGACTTGACGGCAACGAGGAGCCAGTTCGAACATTCGTAACTGCTCCTCCGAGTGTGTCAGTACCCAAACAGGTGGCATTCGGAGCAGAAGGAAGATTGATTGTAGGAGGAAGCGACAATGGATCAGTGTATGTATTTGAAAGGAAGACAGGCAAGCTACTTGACACTCTTCGCCACTCCAATGGAGGCCTGGTGCAGACCATCGCTGTAGGTATTGAATTTTTGCCAAGGATAAGATATTGACAATCTTCTAAGACCCGAGATATTGATGGGCTGCACAGTCGCCACTGCATCACCAGCGCTAGGCCGGCAAAGCCACAAAACTTATGGGTCCACGACTATAGCATAGGAAAGGCGACTCTTACCTCTAAAGATTCCTGGTCATTATTACATATGCTGAAGCGCA